CTCAACTGCAGTTTGCTGAAGATCACGTGGACAAGAAGAGTGTTGGAAGAATGTTTTGTGGACGGATGAGACCAAAATAGAACTTTTTGGTTAAAATGAAAAGTGTTCTGTTTGGAGAAAGGAAAACTCTGCATTCCTGCATACGAACCTTATCCCATCTGTGAAACATGGTGGTGGTAGTTTCATGGTTCGGACCTGTTTTGCTGCATCTGGGCCAGGACGGCTTGTCATCATTGATGGAACAGTGAATTCTGAATTATATCAGAGAATTCTAAAGGAAAATGTCAGAACATCTGTCCATGAACTGAAGCTCAAGAGAAGGTGGGTCATGCACATAAAAGACAATGACCATAAGCACACAAGTGGTTCTACCAAAGAATGGTTCAAGAAGAATAAAGTTCATGATTTGGAATGGCCACGTCAAAGTCCTGACCTTAATCCAATCCAGATGTTGTGGAAGGATCTGAAGCAGCAGTTAATGTGAGGAAACCACCAACATCCAGAGTTGAAGCTGTTCTGTACGGAAGAACAGGCTGGAAACGTTTAGTTGCAGTTATTGTTCTAGAATTGCGCCGCTCAAGATGGCTGCATGTTGGAGCAGCTCTGTTATTTTCATTCTGAGATTTTGCTTTTGGAAACTTTAATTCCTCTTTTTCTGGATGTAAAGCACATTTTTGGATGATTATTTCCTCTGGTATCAGATGTTGTGCAGCTGGAAGGAGTTTTATTGAAACTTTTTTAGTCTTGGACATTTGTTATGATGTGTAACCATGGCAACAAGGCAGTTTTCTACAACCAACAGCAGCTGATCAACATCTCAAAAGCTCAAGTAATATCTCAACTACAGCACCAAATGAGCTGAAAAGGATGTTCTGTGGATGCATTCTCATCTACCTGCCAGCTGTGCTCGAGTGCCTGACCACTGAGATCCTGGAACTAGCAGGAAACATGGCTCACGACAGTTGAAGGACAGGATCGTCCCTCGGCACCTACAGTTGGCTGTCCGCAGCGACGAGGAGCTCGGCAGACTGCTGGGAGGAGTGGCCATCGCTCTGGGAGGAGTTCTGCCTGGCATTCGGGCGGTCCTACAGCCCGGGGAAACCAAGAGGCAGACGAATCTGGGCGGACGGATCGGACGGAATCTGCAGCCAGTTTCTTAGGATCTACTGTGGGAGGGACCTTTACAAGAGATCCTTCCTGTCTACAGCCATCAGTATCTATAACATCACTTAATGAAACGAGGATAACGAGTCACAACAACAAATAATTTCCCTTTGGGATTAATAAAGTATTTTTGAATTGAATTGAATTGAATTGCTGGGTGTCACACCAGATACTTCTACCACTCACAAATATGTAAAATCGGATCATTTTCCTCAATAAATAAATAAAAGACCAAGTATAATATTTTGTCTCATTTGTTTAACTGGGTTCTCTTTAGCTACTTTTAGGTCTTGTGTGAAAATCTGATGATGTTTTAGGTCAAAGAGTTCACAAACATTCAAGCACCACTGTTCATCTACATGTCATTAACTCCGGATTCATTTACACCTGGTTCTGTATCTTTGGCCTCATCATGGAATGGGTTTTCGTTAAAGCTCTGTCATGAAAGTCGGCAGTCAAGGAATGCTCGGTCTTTATTTGTTACAGAATTTGTGCAGGCAGGTTCAGCTTGGTTACAGGTGATATGATCTCTGTCCTACGTTGTAACTATACTGGTTTGGTTTCCTTTGGGAAAGGCGCCTCACCTGTCTTCCCATAATGAATGTGCTTCCACTTGTTTTAGTTCTGCTTTGTAATTTGACTAAGCCCGGTCACACCGGCTCTGATCACAGACACACGGTGGGTTCTGCTGTTCCAGAACTCCCTCGAGTTGTCTTTTTTGTTGAGACTTTGTTTTACACAAAGACAATATTAACGACACAAAAACACAATGCAATAAAAATTGTGAAAATCAGGCAAAGTCTTTTGAAAGGCCAACAAATGCCACTCAATACCATTTTTTTAAGTTTACAAGCAAGCCTGGCAGCACATGAACATATCACCATCTTTCCTGCCAAACTAGGATCACTTCATGTTGCACAAATGATGGAGTTATAAGTAAAACAGAGTTAAAATAATGTTTGTGCTTTCTAAATTCATTTGGCTGTGGCAGCCATCTTGACTTGGATTGTTTCCAAAAGTTAATCATTTCTAGAGAGGCACCCAAACATTGCCTTCTGAAAGGTTTATTGAAATTTGATCAGCTGTTTGTGAGATATTTTGCTAACAGACTGACTTGATTGACTCCAACAGGTACTCAAATGCTTTACATTGCATATTGCGTTTGTAGTTGTTATTGTTATAGGTAATTAGTTTGCATTAATGCACTGGTTACAACAGCCGCAATAAGACAATTTTTTAAACAGATGTTGCTGGTATTGATGTAAAAAAGTATTCAACCATGTCTCGTGCCTGTATTTACCTTCGATTTGATAAGCGGAAGTAGACGCTCCCCAAGCAAAGTCAGAAGGAAACATGTTTTATGGGCACAACCAACTCGTGCTTCTCTTGTGTTCGTTGGTTTGTTTTGTGCTTTAACTTTTTGTTGCTGAACGCGCCCCAAATTTTGCGGCCTCCTGGGCGTGGCCTAAATGTCACGTGCTGCGCTTTATCCAATAGGACACTCTGTTTATGTAAGGCTTTTGTGCTGCATCGTGGTATAAAGTTTATTCATTTAAAAAAAGTACAAAACAATTCCATAACAATATAAAAAAAAGATACAAAAGATTTAAAATGAAAGGCAGCAGAAAGAAGAAAAAATCTTATTATATCTGCCCCTTTTTTCAAACAATTATTTCAATCATAATTCAAAAAGCGTTCAATACAAAATCAATTCAATCATAATAATTTTCAAGTAACAGAACAAAATGAATAACTCTTTCTAATTTTTCTAATTCTAATACAAAACACACACTAAGCTACTTCATATATACTTTTTTAACAATTCAGCTTTGATCTTTTTCTTAAATGTGCACATTGACTTGGCATTTTTAACATCACTCTCTTGTTTCTTTAAGACCTTTTATGACACATTTTCACTGAATTGCACTGAGTTGTTGGGCAAAATCAACAGGTATGTTTTTATTATTAGATTTCAGTTATTTCTTTATTATTGTGTGCCTTTTTTTAAACGCTGTTTTGGTATTATTATTATCACGTTGCCAATGTTTTTGCCATACAATTAATTTTGCTGCATTAATAGTGATGCATTGCTGCAACAAAGTGCACACTTTTTTTTCTAAACACTATTGTTTTGCTTACTGCGTAACACACATAACATAAAACAAGCAAAACCCTGTTTTTTTGCATAATCAATCAATCAACCTTTATTTAGACAGGTAAATCCAAAGGGCATCTTTCAGTGCATTCCACACACTAATCAATAAGGAAATTAGACTTAAAACCCTGTTCTTTCTCTATGCCTTATCTAATAAATTCTGGATAGTATTTTTTTTAGACTTTTTATACATTTCTTGCATTGCTGGGGCTGTTAGTTTTTGGTTGCAGGTACACTTTTAGCCCACATGGAGGCAGAAGGAACAGATAATAAAGTTCCTTGGACTTTTTTTTGGTTCCTTTTTGTAGCATTTCTGTGATTTTGCAGCAAGTGACATCAGATTAATCTGTTTAGTTAACTTTTTTTGCTTGCTCGGGGCAAAGAAAATTATTATTATAATCTGAAAAGGACATATTAATATATTTCTATTTTATATAATTTAATTATGTTGCAGTTCCAGTTTAAAAAGTTAGTAGATTTTAGGTAAACGTCATAATTCATACGTGATGTAGATTTTTAGAAAGTAGTAGATAAGAATCCAATGAACTACTGCTCACTTTTTATTACTCATTACAGATAAACATTATAAATCTGTTTTAACAGGAAAAAATACACGTGAATGACTTTTTAGAGAAATAAGAAAAAAAGTTAAGTTTATGTAAAATTTCAGAAATGATGACAGAAAATTTGAACACTGTTTTTATTTTTGCAGAGTGTGACTCATTTGACTTGAACAAAAAATTAGATGGTTAATGACCAGTGATAAAAATAAGCGGTTTTAAAATCAAAACATCAATTTGAAAGTTTAGATTTTTTTTTTTAAGTTTAGAATGTTCATTTAGTAACTGTACAGTGGGCCTTTATAGAAGTGTCTATACTAGAGCAGCTAGTCAACAAGAGGAACTGCTCTAAACACTGTCTGACATTTTGTTTGCTGCTGTGAAGTTATTAATGATGATTGAGTTAAATCAAAAAGGTTGCAAGCACCTTACAGATGTTGGACGCTGTCTATCTCAGTGTGTTAAGATTCACAACTGGCTGTAACTACCGTACCCATCACTGCACCCTGCATTCATTGGTCAATTCAATTGTTCATCATTAACTTCACGCAGACTGTCTCACTGGTACATTTTCATCTTTAAATCACTTCTTGGTCTGTTGCCTTCATACATCTCCTCCTGCATGTCATGTTGTCAGTGCAGCGCCAGCTACAGCATGCACTCTCAAGACATAATTACCTGAAGTGTCCCATCCCATCAGTGCGGACCAAACTTGGCAAAAGGGCCTTTTCTTACTCCACTCCTGTAACCTGGAACACCTTGCAAAAAGATCTGAAGTTGTGGACTTTGACCTTTTTAAGGGATTTTAAACAACTGTTAAGTTCATTGCAAAAAAACAACACAGACATGTTCCAGTGAGACAAACCTGTATATAATGGTTGAATTAATAATAAAAAAAAATTGACTACATAGCGTGTTTGAGATATCCTCTGTGTTTTTGACCAAAAAAATATCTTTAGATCCTTCAGATTAATTTTCTACTTCAGTAAATAAAATCCAAAACAAAAGTCAAATGCACCAAACTGGTTCTGTAATTTAATTTATCGAATACTGTTGATGGTACGGTTTTATTTTGAAAAACAAACCGGATATGGTTTGGAATTCCAACTGGCCTTGGTGACATAATTCAGCGCAACATCGGGACAGATTGACAAAGAGGGTAGGCTACTCAATTCTGGACTGGAGACTAGTTTAATATGTTTTTTAGGACATTTCGTAACAGTTAAAAATATCTCCAACTACTAAAGTTACGAACTGATACATTTTTTTCCCGTGTTTTTAAGATTTCGAAGCACGGCTTTAGCCGGGAAAGTTCTTTTGTTTTCGGGTTTCATGTGAAAGTAATTTCCTGCGACTGTTCGGTGGATAATGCGCCCCTGACTCATTTATTGCGTTTAGTTAGTACGCTGTATTTGGGAGTTAAAGTAAACATGTGAAGACAAAAAAAAAAAAAAAGAGCCAGAAGGCATTTCCTGAAGTTTGGAGCTGATAACCTGGAATGAGTTCAGCCGCCTCCTGGGAAAAGGAGACGACAGTCCGAGCTGCGGAAGCTAACAGAGGCTCCCACTAACTGGAACTGGGGCTAGGTTTGGGGGATTCCTGCTAGTTTTCGTGAATAAACGTTATCACGACCGTGGATTGAGAATTATAAATGAGTCGTTTGCCAAACAAAGGAGGACACGGTCGTGTTGAGAGAAATGGAGGAAGGATCACTTGAACACGCTGAGATTTCGTCTTCTGGCTGTTTTTCATGGCTTTGAGCTAACCCTGTTCCGTCCTCTGTAAATGCTGCAGCAGCGGTGGACAGTTTCACAATGACGCTGCGGTTGTTGGTGTTTTCACTGCTGCTGTTGCTCAGAGGCTCCGCGGCACAGCAGTCCGCCTGCAAAACGTCGGACGAGCGGTCGAGAAGCGGGGGGAGAAGCCCGCCGTCCGACAGGAAGGTGGTCTGCAGCAACATGGAGCTCGAACAGGTGCTACCCCCGGACTTCTTCCCGAACAGAACCGTCACCCTGTGAGTACAAATCAGCAGCTCATCATCCATGCAAACATGAGCCGAGACGTGTTTTTAAAAGATGCTCTTTGCAAAGAATGAAATGAAACATACCTGTATGAAATGTTGAGGTCTGAAAGAGTTTGCGCCAGTAGTTTTCTGAAATGCAGGTCCACACTCAATGTAAACAAAGCTGAAATGTCCTGATGCATGCTCACTAATCCAGGTAATCCAGGTAGAAAAATCTAACCAAGTTCAGTCCTCTCCTCTGGATGGATAAAAAAAATAAATAGTTGAAACGTCAGTCTGAGGAGCTGCACTGAACTCAGTCTTATAAATGACACCTTCTCGTAGGTCGTTTTCACACTTGGCTCGATTGGAGACCAAAATTCGGTACAGTTGTTTACATTTTCAGCTGGTGCGTTCGCATTCACACTGCACTGAATCAATTGAATCAACCTGTCCCCCCCCCCCCCCCTCGCCTGTGGTGGTGCTGCTCCAAGAACTACTGAAGGAAACGACACGAAAACTTCTGAAGAAGACGCTGAGCACGAGGGAGAAGACCATGGAGAATGTTGTTATTCACACAAGGCGGCTGAGACGGCTCCGTATGAGAAATGCACGTTTGTTTTGGTTGTATTTACACAGAATGCCCTGCGCTGTAGTCCACTTCCTGCTTTTGGAGCGGTTTCTGGTCCGCTTGCATTCACACACTGCATTCGAGCCGCGCCAGAGTTCACTTTGACCGAACAGAGACCTAGGTATTTAGGTGGATCAGAGATCACTTTTTTTTGGTTCATATCAGAGTTCGATTGCGCATTCACACGAAACGAACCGGACTTTCTAGGCAAACGGACTAGAGTTTGATTAAAGCAGACTTAACAGGGCTGGTGTGAATGCACCCATAGTGGATCAACCAGTTTGTTGTTGATATCCAAAACTAGCTGTTCACGTGATAAAGGAGGACCATCAGCTTAACAACCGATTGTTAGTGCTCTGATGACCGCTTGCTATTCACAGAGGACTGAGTGATACTAATAACAGCATTGTAAGTAGACCCGTCACAATAACAAATTTTGCTGGGTGTCTCAGAAATTATTGTGATAAACGATAATATTGTTTGAAATTTGACAATAATTTAGTAATTGTCAAATTTAGGAAGAAATGTTTTTTTATTTGTTTTGCGTGTAGCACCGTTTTCGACCACTGGATGGCTGTTTAAGATGTTTGAACCGAAGGATGGATAGTGAGGGAGCGAGCAGCGTGTCTCTTTAAGAAGGTTAAGAATACAACTAAAATGGATTTTGGATTTACAATGGATAAAAGGAAAGGGAGGGGTCAGTGAAGAGCACCGGAGTTGAGCTTTTTGTCATCCAGTGTCTTCAGTAGAAAGAGACACGAAGAAACGATAAAGCCGATAAATGAAAATGAGGTAGATAATTTTGATTTATCATGCGATTAATTGATTTATTGTTTATTGCGACAGGCCTAATTGTAAGAGGGGGACAATTGGACACGGAGGCCTCCGCCCCTGTTTAATTAATTAACGTTCATCATTAAATGTACAGGTTGTATACAAGTATCCAACCATGATGGCAGGTGTCCGGTATGACTAGTTTCTGGTACGGTAATGGGAACTATGTATTGACCTACATTAGCTGTGGGTGATACAGCAAAATTTGGTATCAGTCAGATACCAAAGACAAGATACCAAAAACACCACCAGCCTGATAAAGAAAGCTCATCAGAGACTCTACTTTCTCAGGTGGCTGAGACGAGCTGGTCTGGGAAGCTCAGTCCTCACCTCCTTCTACAGGTGTGCAGTGGAGAGCATCCTGTGCTCCAGCATCAACGTGTGGCATGGAGGCTGCACAGCTGCAGAAAGAAAAGCTTTGCAGAGAGTGGTGGAGGCTGCACAGAAGTGTGTTGGAGTCAGACTCCCCACCATCACAGACATCTAGACCTCGAGATGTAGGAGGAGGATCACCTGCATCATGAAGGACCCCACTCACCCAGCACACACACTTTTTACCCCACTCTCCTCAGGAAGGAGGTTGAGAAACATTAAGTGTAGAGCCACTAGACTGAGGAACAGCTTCTACCCTGAGGCTGTTAGACTCATGAATCTCTAACCAGAATAATCACTGTGAAAAACCATATCATGTTGCTGCTGATCTGTTTCATGTTGCTGCTGATCTGTTTCAATGTTGCTGTGTTCATGCGTGCTCATCTGCTTACACAGACTCATGTTCATGTTTGTGCTGATGTTCGACGTAATTTAAAAAAAAAAATTTATGTTATGAGTGTTTAGTGTATATTTAGTTGATGTTTTTCTTAGTTCATGTCTTGGATCTTTTTACTGTTTTTCTTTTACATTTTATTGTTGGATGCAACTGGGACCCTGTGTACATAATTTCGCTCCACCACATGTACCACATGAGATGTGAATGACAATAAATAAACTCTGACTGTGATACCAAAGCAGTTTAAGTAAAAAAAAAAAAAAAATGTAATCAGTGTTGTTGTAGGGAAGATGATTGCGTCGTCACAATTAGATGACCACTCGACTCAAAACTAGGGATGCACCGATTTAAGTTCCGATCCGATCCCGATCCCTAAATCTGGAATATCGGCTGATACTGCCCTGATATCATCATCATTATTGATTTTATATGAGGCTGTAATAACCTCCTCTCTATAGGCAAGTACATTTTGTACAAATATATGCATGTCCAAAAAGGCAACATGAGGTAAGTTTTATTAATGTTGGATACGTTTCAAAGTTAGAATTAAATCCTGCTAACACAAAACTTGTTAGTTTTTTTTCTCTCCTAGCTTTAAAGTGGATATTAAAGTGATTAGATGGCTTCAAACATCTGCTAAGTTCATGGCATACACCAACACAGACATGTTCATGTTTTTAGTATTTTACATCGCTTTATAAAGTAGCTGTTTTGTTATATATATATATATATATATATATATATATATATATATATATATTTTATATATATTTTTTCTTGTATTTTTCAATTCATATGCTTTTTATTATTATCTACTGTTGTACTGATAAATAACTCCTGGAGGGTAAACTATATCTTGGTTGCAAGTATCAAGCTGTGACATCCTTCGTTTATTTTACAGCTGATAGCGATTGGTCATTAATTACGATGAAGTTTAGCAACTTCTCGGTAAACATTCGAGCTCTGTGGCTTCAGCGGACTGTTATTCTCATTCAGTTCGGAGAAGGCAGTCTGATTTCAGTCAGCTGCGCTCAGTCTGCCCGTCTCGACGGAAGCCACAGAGCTCGAATGTCCAACGTAAAACTAACTTTACCGTGGTTTAATGTGGCGCTATGGCTCTGCAGATATTGCACGTTGCTGTCTTGTTTTGTGATGTTTCTAGTGTAAAATACTTCCACACAGCAGACATGTTTCGATAAAAATTTGGTTAGCCGTTAGCCACAGTGCTACTGCACGTTTCAGTTGGCTGCAAACTATGAACTGGATTCCCTGAATGTGAGGCGGGTCTTGTTACTCTGGGTTCATGAGACACGCCTCTGTTCAGGAAATCCATTCCATACTTTGAAGCCAACGTGCATCATGGATCGGAAATCTCTGCAGGTTGGATTGGAAAAATCCAATACGTAAATTATGCTGCCGGTATCGGAGCCCAATACCGGATCGGATCGGCCCCGTCCCTACTCAAAACCTGCTGGTGGGTAGAAAGACAAAGTACACTGTTTGTTTTAAATATGATCACACGCTTCTTCACATATTTGAATATGGTCCAATCCTGCGTTGTGGCTGGATGCGCACAATGGTGGGAAAACAAAAAAACAAAATCAGATTTCCTGGCAGCATATACCAGTGGTGTGGCCTACGTGATACTCAGGCATACGGAGTGTACCCACTAGAAAAGCTTAAGAATTTCAGTAAACCCACTTAAAGTGCCCAATGATACATAACACATCATTAGGCACGTGTCATTGATACGTTAAACACAGTTAAACGCTTCTGTAACAATCTTATCGGTATGCAGCGCTTTGCTTTGATACTGTTTGATAAATTCTATAACATGTTTTTAATGCAAAGCCAACTGTTGTACAAAGTTTGTTGTTCATTTATTCAAATACAAGCATCAGAGAAATTTGAAAATGTTCAATACGCTTAAAAATCTAAATAAATTGACGATTACATTGTACTGACCAGTGTACTTTGGTTTCTAAGCACAGTATACGCACTACAAATATGAAGACTACACTGCCATATACCAAATGACAGATAGGCAAAGTAAGTACTAGCTTTTGGTGATCAACAGAAAGGGTTGGATTCTGAAGAATGAGGGTCATGTACGTATGTGGTGCTCAGTTCCTATCAGGTAAATTTGATTTGTGCTTTCAGACGGACGATCTGTCTCCTATAAGCAGGTACAGCTCACGTTATCCTCGATACACACTGATCTGAAGTGATCCTGTAAAAAGAAATAAACAATACAGTAGTCTCAAAATGTCTAACCTGTTTTTGTTAGGGAATAGCTGGGAGCACAACAGAAAATTATCCTGCTGAATTTATTTGACTTCAACAATCTGACCAATTTACAGGAAACTGATTCCCCAAGATTGTGGTGGTTCAAGATTTGTGGATGGGGTGTAGTAAGAGAAAGACTTCTAAAATTCTGATTCTATTTTATACTTGCTACCATTCAGTGTAAGGAGGAGGTTTTCACTTTTGAATGAGTAATACACATGACACCATGTCTGCGTGGTATTTCTGAAAGCCTTCAGGATATAAGTTAAGCCTTATGGGGTTTTAAAACCAGAATGTAATGTAGACTCTGATGGGATTAGATTCACTTTCAGCTATTAACACCACCCTTGAGTGAGCCTTGTGGCGTTATATTCTTAATGAATAAGGCTTTATACCTATTTTTGCTTCAGTTATATTTAGGAGAACTGCTCTTCTCTTTGTACTAAAGTAATAATGGTGAATTCTTGAAACACCATTACAGATGCACATTTGACAATGATGTAGACTGTTTTTAATTCTACATTCAAGTCGACGTGATAAATCTGATTTGGGTCCTGGTCACCTGCAAATGTATAGAAATTTAAATCTTTGTATCCAAGTTTGTTTTTCTTGTTTATTTTTTTGATGAGGGTTTGAATTTAGCCTTTAGCTCCGAGAGACAAATCGGGTTTCTGGGTACTGTTTGCATAATTGTGCGAGTGACTATTTCTGTGTAGCTGTTTAAGTTTCAACCTGCACATCAATGCCTACATGAATGACTACACTTTCTTTACTCATCCAGCTCATGTTTCTTAATATGGAGCTTGTTATTAGGTGCAATTAAAATCTTATTCAAAGGAGCAGATAAGTTCTCTGCTGAGTAAGGATGGATTAATTTCAGGAAGATAGTCGGTCTCAGGCTGTAGAGTTCTGTTAACCTAACTAGTTTAACAGTGCAAACTTAGAATCTGTTATTATTATTATGATTTTGGGACTTGTTTCCTTAAAGATGTGCATATAAAACTGTTTCTCTTGGGTCTAAAAAAGTTAAATCTGGTCCTCTGGACATTCAAAAAAAACAAAAAAAAACAAAGCAAAACAACAAAAAAAACCATTTTGTTTTCAACAACATTTCAACAAAAAAACTACATTTTTTTGTTGTTGTTGCTTTGTTTTTTTTTTTTTGAATGTCCAGAGGACCAGATTTAACTTTTTTAGATTTTTCTACCTGGATTATTGAGCATGCATCAGGATGTTTCTCTTGGGATTTCACATTCTAAATCTGATTAAATGTGATCTCAACCATATTTTTTTTTACATTGTCTAGAGTAGACTAATCCAAACGTCTCGTTACTCATTTTTTTGTTTTCTTCCTTTTTGTCATGCTGTGGCTCTTTGAAGTTGTTGTGTAATGAGAACATAGGTGCCGGCTGTCATGCATGCCCTAAAAGGATTTATTTTTGGTCTTATCCAGACACACTATGGTGTAAATCTGTGGTTCTCAAACATTTTGGCCTCTGACCTGAAAAATAACAAAGTCAAACATTTGCAACCCCAAATATCCTTGTGACTATTGTTTTTATGTTTTATAACTATCATAGTGTTTATAAAGTGTAAAACATTATTTTGTAGTTATGTTTTATTTCTTGAGATCATCTCAGGACCTCTGCTAGGTGGTGCTAGGACCTCCGCTAGGCTAAAAATAACAGAAAATCCAATTTAATGAGTCCCACACCAGTGTTATGATTGGCTTCACATTGAAGGTTTTCCATGTTTGCCGCTATCCATCCACGTTGTGTAGGATGTAGCTGGGCCAGCATACAGTGGAAACGAGAAGGGGGTTCATAGGAAACAGAAGCACCTCAACTATTGAACCACTATGAAGTGTTTATCCCAGTACAGTTCAATGGTAAAGAAATTTTAAGTTCAAGTAGAACAAGTTTTTTTTTTTTTTTTTTTTTATAACCTGGCTTAAGTCAGAAATGTATTCAAAAACCTACTGAAGAGGTACAGATTTTCATACCTACCAGTTTTAACATAAAAGCCTCTTGAGCAGAAAGAATGTGTTGAAAGAGTATCGTTTTGTTCTTAAAGCAACACACTTCTGGGGGAGGTGAGTAGTGTCTCGTCATTTTATCTATCTCTCAGGATAAGATATGGTAAGACGAATAAATTAGGACAACTTTTGCCATATTTTGTCATGTCATATTTACTCGCCAACAAGCCAAGATAAAATCTAAACTGTCCTCAAGTCTTTTAAGAGTGGTAATTTGGATTTTCAAGATGATTCTTTGGTTAACGTCATTGAGATTTATGTCATTTGTTTTAGCAGACTTGATGTGAGATTTGGTAGATCCCCGTTTCAGCATTTTCCTGGCTTGAGCTCAAGCAGATTTATGTACTGTATGCCTCAGGAGACGAGACTTCCTGCCTGAAATGTTTAAGATCTGGCTTGGAACAAACAGAATTCACAGACCGGTTCATAATCTGAAAATGTAAGCAGTTTAGCTGCAGACATCCTGAGGGTGGCAGAAATGCTGGTAGTTAAATTCCTACTATCTCTGATCAAATTCTTAGCTTCATGTTACTTATTGTTAACAGAGGTGTTGTTTCTCATTGTTAAGTCTTGTACTGACAACAGAAGAGTTTCTAATAAGCCATTGGTACAATCCTATCATAAGGAAGAGGTAGGGCCAGAGAAAAGCGTAAGCATTAGGGGTGCACCGAGTGCAGTTTTCTGACCGATCACAGATTTCTAAAAAGTCTGACCTGCCGATTCAGATTTTGGCCGATACCGATTTTGTTTTATAAGCGACACTGTTGGGTGTTATAAGGTCTCAATGCACCGTCAATTTTCCAATATTATTTTATGGAAAAACATACCCTTGAACAATATCCTAGAAACAATACAAACTTGTAACTGGCCATGAGGTGTTGCTCTGAAATATAACTTAAATTCAGACAATTGTTGTTAAAACTAATAAAATCGGTAAAATCGGTTTCTCGTGCAAGTATCGGCCGATTTCCCAAATTTAAGACAATTGGGGCCGATTTATTGGTGCATTCCTAGTAAGCATGCATAGATTGAGGGTGGAGGGTGGAACGAAGCCAAAGCAAAAGTGCATGAATTTCAGTAGATCTCTGGTTAACATAAATTATTTTTTTTGATGAATAACAATACTTGAAAAGTGCACTTTTGCAGCCAAATGCACCCTAATTTTGTGGTAAGTAAAAATTTCTACATTCTAACCATTTCTGTGAAGAAACTAAGATAAGATGACTTTAAGATACAGTAACATCAAAGTTCATGCTCAATAATTCAGGTAAAAAAAAATCCAACAAAGTTAAGTTAGGTCATCTGGACGGTTTCTTTTTTGTTGAGGTGTTTCTTCCGAAGGACTTCATCCATCCGAGGAGCCACAACAAACTCAGTCCCACAAGCAGCACACTCACATAGTGGACCAACCATTTTGCTGGTGGATTTTTTTTACCTGGATTATTGAGCATGGACTTTGATGTTTTGAACCACTTTGGCCTTGGCTACCCCAGTGGAGTTGACAGGGGAGAGGGCAGGCCCCAGAAACTATCTTATCACCAGCAAACTGGTTGGTCCACGATGTGAGTGTGCTGCTTGTGGGACTGAGTTTGTTGTGGCTCTTTGCACTTAAGTCCTTTGGATGATGGACAAAACGTCTCAAGAAAAAAAGAAACCATCCAGATGACCTGACTGAGCTTTGTTGGACTTTAAGATAACTCCTTTTATACCTCAAAAAAACATTTGTTGAATGTCATCTATCTGTACATGGGGAGTTCCATTTTCATCCGAGAATCAACCCCGTTAGTTTGTTTGCAATATTTTATGAACCACTGGACAGATTTTAATGAATCTCTCAGAAGGTAATTATTAGATGGACATCTACTATCGAACTTTTGGAGGCAGTCCGATTCAAGATGTGCCAACACAATGAATTAACCATAGCAACCAAAAAAAAAGTCAGTCAGTTTTACAGACATCCAACTAAAAACTTGTGGTAGGAGTTGAGAATCTTCCCCAATACTTACTTTGATCACAAGATCACAGTTGATCTTTGTTTTGATTACCTTGGCCTGCAAGGTGACAGGTGGTATTCACTTTTTCAAGGAGTACTAGTTTCAATGTAGTTGTATCTTTCCTTTAGACTGTGTACTTTATTTTTATAGAAACCCAACCTTATTTGGTTTGGTAAAACACTTCTGTATGTGTGCTACCAATCACTCATTTGTCCTGCAGATCAGTTTGGATACCCGTTTCAAGCTGAGACACTGCCTGAAATACACGAAAGAGAAAAAATAGTGAAAGTTTTCTGTTTGAGGTTTTCTTTAGATCCCTTATTAAAAGGTGAGGAAGGCAAGAATACAAAGAAGCAAGACGTATCATTATGTGTCAGCGTGGAGCTGTGTGGCATCCTTCCCCTAAATGAAAAAGATATTTGATCCTTTTTGATTCCACCTTCACGTTTAATTAATACACATTCCTTGCTGATGTTTTAGATTCTGTGGCTGTTACGACACTTTGGTTTTCTTCCACATCCTAAATATGACTTGATGCGGGATAACTGGACAAAACAACCTCAGCTGCTTAGGGCATGCATCACGTTACATTGCAAGCTTCTCTCACGCCCATCTGTTGTCATTTTTAATGTTCATTTTCATTTTGGATTTCCATTCATTTACACGTTTTTTTTTTCCCCCACAGAATTCTCAACAACAACAAGATTCAAGAACTCAGAAATGGATCCTTCTTTGGATTGTCTGCTTTGGAAAAATTGTAAGTACAGCTGACACGTTTCAAGCAAGCTGAATGGATGTAGATGTGTCAGATAATGTCATGAAATAGGTCATCAAAATTGTGAATATACTTTACAAATGTATATTACCGTTTCACCCAACTAAACCTGCTGTTTACTGTAAGGGAGTATACCAAATTTAGTGTTGCCACTAGGTTACTTGCCTTGGGAGGGCACTCGCCTCTTAGTCGTTTGCTGATGCGAGGGGTGGGGGTGGGGTTGGTTAACATAGCTCTACGTGGTTATATAGCCAGTGCCAGCAGTTCTTGGCAGTGTTAGCGAAGCGCTACAATTGTGTTGCCTGTGGTTGTTTTTGAGTCTGAGCTGAGCTGCTACAGTCTCCGCTGCCCGTCCAGAAGTGGCGGAGTTGCATGGGGGGTGGGGGATTTGATAGACGGGGCGCACGGTTGTGTTGATAGGGCGAGGTGCCCTTCTTGATTAATGGTAAGGGAAACACTGATATTGTTGTTATGGTGAAGGCCCTAGTTTGAGCCTCGTATGAATTCCTTTTTTATCCAATCATGGCTATATGCAGGCCTAAAACCAGACATGGCCATTTACAAAACATTCATTTTCAGGTCAAATTTTGTTCATTTTAGCCTACTGGTAGATGTTTTCTCAAACCAATAGGATTCACAATATGGTCTTAGATATCTGCATGAGCTCCAGGCAGATGCCTTTAAAAGCAGCATAAAGAGACTAATGTTTCAGTTTTTATGACATTTTGCACTCCTAATTAATGTGCTATTGTACAACTTGTGCATGGTATTCTGTCATATTTATAGTCGGAAAGAGATGTACCACCTTTCTAATTTTTGAAACAATTTTTTTTTCTATTCTTTCCCACTCCAACATCTGAATGCTCTTTGGTCTAACAAGCTAGTCATTTGCTGCCAATTAGAAAAGTACATTTTTATCATAGACAAGCTGTGATTTATTCTAGTTATTCTTTGACAATTCTTCCAATATGTAACTTCCTGCCTGAATGCATTAGGTTGCTGACATGTGATTGGCTGATTAGCTATTTGTGTTAACAAGCAATTAAACTGGTGTACCTAATGAAGTGTCCATTGAATGTATAAACAAATAAACCATTCTTTATTTTTCCCCCTTATGGCAGGTATTTACTTGTCAAGAATTCTTACCAAAGTCTCTCGGCACACATTATGCTGTCTAAATCCTTGATATTTACCTTTGCATTAGCAGAAGCAATCCATCACTCTGCAAGTGAAGCTTTGACTTGTTGAGCAGGGAGTGAAAGCGGGGTGGGGGGGGGGGGTTACAAACATACATGAAGTCATACCAGTGGAACATCCAGGTCACCGAAAACGAAGCATCTTCTGCGCAGCACTTAGCCTCAGTCTATGCTGGAAGAGTACTAGAAAGGGCTAATTATAGGAGTAGCCCTGAGGGTTGGTAGTTATCTGACTCGTGACACACTTTTCACGTACTGCTGCTCAGGTGCTCCTGGGGTTCTGTTTTTCTTTAAAAGCAGTCAAATGAAAGTAGCATTGCAGCTTCCTGAAGATAAAGTACAAGCGCTGAATGCAAATGAAAGGTCCAAGGAACTTGGTTTGATAGTTGGTGTAGATATGTTGGTTTTTCTTTGGGTTTCTAGTCTAAAGAAAGTCAAGTCATGCCGTTACACTCCGGTGTTGAGACTAGAATGTTAGAACCTGCATTTCCTCCGCACAGAAAGTGACTCTGGGCCTGCACATATGGGCCACCGGTGATTTATCGCTCAGGAATGGCTCCATGCAGATAAAATAACCAGACCATTAATGGCCCTGCTTTTACCCAAGGCTACAATAACACATGACTGCATTGATATGGAATTTTAAGTGCATGTGTCTCCTCCCTTAATGCCGAGGCGAAGAAGAGATATAGACGCTATATGTTTATGTTGTTTGTGTGGTTAGCCACGTGGTGTGTATTTAGACAGATGTTTTAGACTTAATTATATCATTGAGGAACCATTATTGTTGATTATCCTGTTTTAATAGAAAAATGCATGTAACGATTTTTCTGTTTTTTTTGGTTTGCTACATCCTACAAGGTTTTTACCAGTTTTTTTTCTTTCTTGTGATCATTTGTTCTTGTTTGCATAATGAAGTGACAATCCTCTTCATCAAATATTTATCATTTTGCAAGGAAAATTTTCTGTTTGTGTAAATGTTTAAAATGAAGTCAAAAGAGGTATACAAGATGTAAGAAGCTGTGAGAAACATCTTTTTGTAAATACCTTTTCAGAACTAGAAATTCTTTGGTGTTCTGCTAATTATAGTTTTAAAACAGAAAACTCTAAATAGGCTAAAAGAGCCTCACATGTTTTGGGATCTGCCTTCAAAACTATGTTAGTTTTCAGATCTTGGGCCTTGAGGTTTTAAAGGTCGACGTACTCTGAATAAGAAAAACAAATCTTTGATCTTTCTTTAACATCAAAGCTGTTTTAAGGCTCTTGGGCGTTTTGTCTCTGAATGGCCAACCACTTAGGTTGTAAACTGCGTTCTGCTTGTTTGTGCATGAATCCACATGCAAGTTTACCACCAGTAAGCCTCTTCCATTGTGCCCCAGAGTCCCCTCCCCACCGTAGTCCACTCTCTCAACGACCGGAGCTAGACTGCAAAACAGCTTTCTCGCTTTTGTGATAGTAATGAAGCCACGCTGAGGCCAGAGGTGTCAGTCGTACTGTTCCCACACACGCTCACATTCACACGCTGTGCATGCTGAAAGCCTCTACTCCTTAAATCACACTCTTTTTAGTTCCTCCTCTGCCAAATTTCATTTAGCAGAAAAGAATAATGCTCCATCAGTCAGTTGGAGAGTATTGAGTCTGGTTTGGACAACCTAAATGTAATGGCAATGACTGCGATGGCAGTCTGAGTGCCACGCAGAGGTAAAGAGTAGATTTCTGTCTGAACTGCAGCACTGAATGAAATTGTAAAGTTACTGTGGAGACCATTAAGATCTGTTGGGGCCAAAGATGTTGGTACTTGCACATAAGCCAGTAATAATCCCTATTATCGCTCTTTTTTTAAGGAAAAATGCTACTCTAGGCAGCTATCTCCTGCATTTCTTTTGTAAATGCACTGCTGTGGAGACATTCCTGTTATGGAAGGTGGTGCAAGGATAACAGCTTGGGTTGGGTGAGATCCATTTCGGATTCATTCTTTTTCAATACTCAAATTACGCTGTGGAATACAATACTGTATTATGATAAACCTGAGTGGCAATGGTTAAATTGTCGTATTTGTTTAGGTAATTTTAGTTTTTTTTTTTTAAGGGCTTCTGAGTAACTTTAAACCTTAAAACAAAACAAAAACTGGACATATTTTCTTGTTTGTTGAAGACAATTTGCTTTTCAACCAAGAAGCTTTGTCAATTCCAACTGAAGCGTTGAATGCCAAGAATACACTCAGTGCATATTCACTATAGAGCTGCCATCCCCAAAACTTGAAAAGAGCGCTTCCTGTATGTCCGTCAGCACAGGAAATATTTTAAATCAAAAAGAAAAACGGCTAATTTAACATTTTTAAACCTGCATCAGATGCAACATCACTCTTCCTTTTGAGACTGGTTCTAGAAGAAGAGTTCTGCAACATACCTTGAAATACTCTGCAAGCCTTTTTGATTATGTCCAAAAATCCTGTGCAAATAAATGTAAAAGGCACCCGGCTGTGTGTGGTCTGTGGTCTTTGGATGCTGATGTGGAGCTTGCGAGTGGTTTACCAGCCCTCCCCATATTTCATCTCTCATTTTTTACCTTCTGCTGTGGAAATATCAGATCATAGACCTGCTGCAGCTAATGGAAGAAAATCCATCTTTTAGCGTTTGGTAGAACTTACTGTACTCATCTGTTACTGTGTAGTCAATGGAACATTATTATTATTAGTATTCTCATAATTTTATGTGCACACTCAGCAGGAAAATAGCTTTTTACCACTCAAGCTGTAAAGTTTATATGTTACGTGGCTGTGGCTGTTGGCATCTACGTGGAGGTAGAACTGCGAGTGAATATGCAAATTTTCCCATGGATTCACATTGAATTGATACAACAAGTATGTGTGCCAAGGTAGCTGCAAATAAAAAGGGGGGGGGGCGCTGTGGTGTATAGGTAGTGCAGCTGACCTTGGACCAGAAAGTGGCCGGTTCAACTCCCCACCATGCCCACATGTCGTGGTGTTCTTGAGCAAGACACCTAATCCCCAACTGCTCCACCTGGGTGTATCTCAGGTGCGATGGGTTAATTAAATGCAGAGCACAAATTTTGTCATCGTATAGAAACATGACAACACATAGCAAAAACAATGAATAAATAAAATAAAAATAACTTCTGACATTTGTGACATTTCTGGAAATGACGTGCACGTTTGTTTGTCCTGATTTCGTCATGTCATATTGCAATTTATTCTCTTTTTGCTTCAGTCAGTCACAGTTGAAACCTGCCAATGTTGTTTCCCATTTTTCACACTTTCTGACTCACAAAAACAGAATCGAGAAGTTAGCTTCAAGCTATTGAAGTCCTTTGGATGAAGGACGAAATGTCTCAGCAAAAAAAGAAACCGTCCAGATGACCCGACTGAAATTTGTTGGATTTTTTTACCTGGATTATTGAACATGAACTTTGATGTTCTGAACCACTTTGACCATGGCTGCCTCAGAGGAGTCGTCAAGGGAGAGCGTGAGCCCCCAAAACCATCTTATCACCATCAAACTGGTTGGCCCCGTCATTCCCCGATCTGTTACGTAACCCGATCCTTAAAGTGTAGTTTATTTGCACATGCGCTAAATGGAATACTTCCCGGTCACACGTATCGTCGTCGAATATGCTAGAATAAGAAAAATGTACTGGTATAATTCTGTTTATGAATAAGAACTGTCTTAATTTACTTAGAAAAGTATGTGCTTTACCTCCGCCATTTTCATGTCGCTAATTTATGTCACTTGTATTTCCGTTAAGATCAATGACATATTTACGTCATGGTTAAGCTGATATGTAGCTTCATCACTGAGCGGCGCCGTTTCACCTCGGAAATAATTCATTCTGTATCTTGCAGGGTTTTTCTCATTCATCCCAGGCTGGGAGTCAGCTCTAATGCATCGCATATCATCTTAACCAATGATTTGTAACGGAAATACGAATGGCGTAAATTGGCTACATGAAGATCGGTGGAGATAGAGCACGTAATTTTCTAAGTAAATTAAGAGTTTTTATTCATAAACAACGGCGATCCATGTGACCCGGAAGTACACTACGGATCGTGCTTTCGTAACAGATCGGGGAATGTCATGCCCACTATGTGAATGTGCTGCTTGTAGGACTGAGTTTGTTGTGGTTCCTCAGACTGATGAAGTCCTTTGGATGAAGGATGAAATGTCTCAACCAAAAAAGAAACCGTCCAGATGACCTGACTGAAATTTGTTGGGTTTTGTACCTGGATTATTGAGCACGAACTTTGATGATTAATTGAGAAGGTTACAAGACAAGTTAGGGGTGCACCCCGGCCGATTTATCGGCCCCGATTTCCTTATTTTTGGGAAATTGGAAATCGGCCGATACTTGCATGAGAAACGGATTTTACCGAACAACATTTATCTGAACTTCATTTATATTTCAGAGCACTACCTCATGGCCAGTTAAAACAAGTTTGTATTGTTTCTAGGATATTGTTCAAGGGTATGTTTTTCAACAAAATAAGATTGAAAATTGAAGGTGCATTGTGACCTTATAACACCTGACGGTGTCGATTATAAAACAATATCGGAATCGGCAGGTCAAACTTTTTAGAAATCGGTGATCGGCCAGAAAACTGCAATTGGTGCACCCCTACCAAACACTCATGAAGACTGTCACTGTTCTGAGGCAGAATTTGTTTTGGAAATTTAAAATAATGTCAGAAAGCAAGAACTCTGTGAACTCATGCAAACAAAAATGTCTTGAAACCATTCCGCTTTAGAAACCAACTCATCACAGGACTCGTGTTTTTGTGCACCAGCCTCTCTTCAAAACTGACTCCTCTTTTCTACAAGAGAGCATTTGTAATTTCCTCGTCCTGCCTTCTCATTTCTCTCTCAGCACCGTCTCACAATGAAGCCGCTCGCTCATTTCAAAAGTTTTAACAAGCACTAGATGTTTTGTCCGTGACTTCTCTGTGGCCACAAACCTGCCTGTAGATGACGGTTTCTCCACATCAAACAGGCAGAGTTACCCACCGGTGCTTTGTGTGGCCTCAGGTGGCCAGTACAAAGCCTCTTGAACCTCCAGGATATTGAGTGACGAGGCAGTGCCAGTGCAGGTGAGCGCCGCAGGAATTTTGTGACGACAAACCTTTGAACTTTACGAGAGCGGGGGTTGTCTGTGTGCGTTTGTGTGGGAACCAGAGAAATCCTTTTACGGTTTGTTAGGGGTCGTGGCAGCAGTTTTTACAGTGATGACAGAGGATTGAGTTTGGTGTTGGTCTGGGAGTTTGTAGAAAACTAGATTTTTTTTTTTTCAAAGATTAGTTTTCGTGATACTGATCCCTCCTCTGCTTTAATTTCACAAACCTGACCTAATAATTTGGGGAGTGGTGGCGCAGAGGTTAGAGAGGTGGGCCTGTGATCCGAAGATCGCCGGTTCACGCCCCGGCCCGACAACATCAAAATTGTGGGTGGGGTAGGTGAAGCACCCACACTTGCCCCATCCTCATTTGCTCCACTTTGGGCCCATGAGCAAGGCCCCTTACCCCCACCATCTGCTCAATGAGACTACCTGGACAAATAAAGGATAAATGAAAAAAAAATAATAACAATTGGTAAAATCAACGAAATGTAGAAATATTGGGTTTTACTGGTAGATGAATCAAAATAACAAAATTTATGTAGAAGCCCAATAAAGTTTAGTCAGCTCATCTGGATGGTTTCTCTTTTTGTTGTCGAGATGTTTTGTCCTTCATCCAAAGGACTTCATCGGTTCAAGGAGCCACAACAAACTCGGATGAAGTCCTTTGGATGAAGGACAAAACATCTCAACAAAAAAGAAACCGTCCAGATGACCTGACTGAAATTGGTTGGATTTTCTACCTGGAATATTGCGCATGAACTTTGGTGTTTTGAATCACTTTGGCTATGGCTGCCTCAGAGGAGTCGACGATGGAGATGGCGTGTCCAGAAACCATCTTATCACCAGCAAACTGGTTGGCCCACTATGAGAGTGTGCTGCTTGTAAGACTGAGTTTGTTGTGGCTCTTTGACCGATGAAGTCCTTTGGATGAAGGACGAAACGTCTCAACAAAAAAGAAACCGTCCAGATGACCTGACTGGAATTTGTTGAATTTTTTTTTTAACCTGGATTATTGAGCATGAACTTTAATGTTAATGTAGAGGTATTTCACAAAATAGAACTTATCATCACATGATCGGTTCAGACAAAATTCTCTTTGGAGTTGGGTCTGATGATCTATTAGCACATAACTCTGGTCAGAATTTAATTTCATTTTTTTACTGAGATTTTCTAAAAAGCTATATTCAACTGGTAAGATATACTTTTTCATAACCTTTTCACTGAACCCTACTAAAAAGATGCATTGCTTTGCAGTTTGTGGAGGAAATGATTCCCCCCTCCCAGCCTAAAAGACTGAAATGAAGAATTAGCAAAGCTGTTTGTTGTCTTGCTCCTCACCTAAAACCATGTTTCTCCCCACAGGGATCTGCGCAGTAACATAATTAGCCGTATTGAGCCAGGCGCTTTTCTGGGCTTGCCAGCACTGAAAAAACTGTGAGTATTGTTGGAGCTTCTTTTAAAGTTTTGTCGATTCTCGCATGCTATGCTTCTAAAAATGTGCCCACTTTATGATTTACTTGTAGCTCTGTTGTTTGTTTTTGTATTCAAATTAGCTAAAGTCCAAGTCTTTTAATGATTTCGAGTGTTTGCTCTAATTATATAACAAATTGTACATGAAACGTTTGTGAAAAGGCTCCTTTGTGTGTTAAAATCAAACAACTGGACGTTTTAGGTCACAAGCTTTTTAAAGCAGTTCTCTTTTATTAACAAGTGAAGGAACTGTTTGGCTTTTAAGAGCATATTGCTTGTTCTTTTGCTAACCCTTTCCAGTGCTATACTTTCACGTTTCAATAACACATCTTTGATTTGATAAATTGTGTGTATAGCAGCTATTGATTCAGGTCCATCTCTGCAACATCCTGTGTAGAGAGGATCTAATTCCCTTAAGGAACGCACGGTTCAAGCAGCTGTCTGTTTCTACTCTTGTTTGACTTGGATGTGTACCAAAGACTGCTGCCGTCAGCGTGAGGCCTTAAATATTTTCACACACTCCGGGGGAAAATAGGAAGGAGATGCATGTCTATGAATATTTGCTGCAGATTTGCAGTTTTGATATGGGGAATACAGGAAGCTGAAGTCCATGTGGGTTATCTAGGAGAGTTGTTTGTTTCTGTTTGCAAACACGTGCACGAGGGGGAGCAGGAGCAGAGCTTGAACTGGAGTCACCTGACAGCACTCAGTCACTGCCAACACAAACTTGAACTTGGCTGTTGTTGAGGAACAACAAGAGCCTGACGGGAAGGAGGTCATTCTCTCGGCTCAGACTGGGCCTAGTTTCCCCCTCCTGCTCATCGTCATCGATATAAATTCATGCTACACTTGAATCCAAATCACCCAAATCTACCCCCTTTTCTTTATCGCCACACATCTCAGTTAATTTGACTGGACAGAGAGGAAAAACAAACAAGTGCATACCCAAGGAATGTAAACACAGAAGCTCTACATCAAGCTTTGGAAAACATATATTTACACAACTTTTTTGGTAAATGAAAGTGGAAAGAGGGAAAAAAAATGGCCACAAGGAATGAATATATCAACTTATAAGTGTTGCTTATGTGTCAGAATGTTTGCCAAAGTTTGTGAAGACATAAAAATCCTGGAAAATGAATACAGGTTTGCATATAACACACAAGCTCCCATTTTTCTTTAGTTTTCCCCATCGAAGCTGACGACGACTTCAACATTTCACAAGCAGCACACTCACATAGTGGGCCCCAGTTTGCTGATGGTTTCTGGGGCCCGCCCTCTCCCCCGTCGCCTCCTCTGAGGCAGCCATAGCCGAAGTGGTTCAAAACATCAAAGTTCATGCTCATTAATCCAGGTAAAGCATCCAACAAAGTTCAGTCAGGTCATCTAGACAGTTTCTTTTTTTGTTGAGACATTTCAATCTTCATCCAAAGGACTTCGTCAGATGAAGGACGAACCGTCTCAGCAACAAAAAAAGAAACCGTCCAGATGACCTGACTGAACTTTCTGGATTTTTTTTACCTGGATTATTGAGCATGAACTTGACATTACTTGGTTTGTTCCAGTGTTTATTAATTTTGTGTTTACTGTCACAGCACTCAATCAGAGATTTAAAGGGAAGAGATTTTTCTGAAGTATTTATATGCCACATCAGGATTTCCCAATTTCTTTAAAGTAATTTTGTTGAGTCATATTAACAGCTAAACCATAACATTAATGAAGACTTGTCAAACTTCAAAAACGCTGTCCTCAATTAAACAACCTTGTGGGGGTTTTGTTTAAAAACCTGTCTTTCAAAGTACCATTACCAATAAAGGTCTTTGGGGATAGCTCTCATCCTGAATTCAGATTGCCCTCAAAACATTTGCCACAACATAACACAAGATTATTTCGAGTTTTATCGTAAAAATAAACCAAGACTGTTCCCAAAATGCTCTTGTGTGTTTATGGTCTTTATACCCACCTCAGCATGACTCGTGGACCTCATCAAGATGCGACTGTGTATTATGTCTGCACCAGGTTGTTTTACTGAACTTGTGTTGATCAGCCTAGAGTCATGAGACCATTGTGGTCACTTCTTCAGACTTTCAATAATTAAACCAACACAGTTCGCCCAAGCCCCACATAAATTATATACTGCCACCATGCTCCTTCCAGGACCATAATGCACTGCAACCACGATGATAAACTATCAAACCCTTGCTACAGAAGCTTTGTCCTTGTTCAGAATCACTGTGGACCCATCACACTGTCTTGGCGCTTTGCTACTGCCTCAACTCTTTAGTTTTGCACCGCATCAGTTAAGGGCCTGCCCACTGCTGGTACCCGCCCCCACTCAGCCTGGTTTATGGGACCATCTTGTTTATGGTTCCTAGCGAACTACTCTGAGGTGATGATTTTAATGTAAGCAGGCAGCAGCCGTTGATTGACCAGTGGAGCTATGTCATGGGATGACCTGCCCACCACATACCTGTCAAGTCTTATAGATTTTCCGTTAATCTTAACAGATTTTCCCCCATTTTTAATAACTATGGACGTACAAAGAAAGTTTTACGGATTTTTCAAAAACTTTGCTTCAAATTATTATTTTTTTGACGTCACAGAGCTGGCCTGTAAGGAAATGCTAAGGTCGCCCCTTCCTCCTCGTCTTCCTCTTTCTGCCAGCAATAACTGCAAACTACATCTGAACTGCCATTTCCTCTCTGAGCTTTGTAGAGTGTGGGTCAGTTTGTTTGTTTTTTCTGCTTTTCTAGTTTCTATCTCAGTATGGACGCTCCAAAGACCAATTGACGTGGTCCAGACCTTTCTGTCTGTACCGGTGGATCAGAGGATTCAATGCGAGCTGGACAGCGCTATAAGAAACTCTTCACTTTGCATTGACGATCCCGCCCACAGAGCAGGGAAACGAGTCACAGTGTCAGTTCACCTACACCTGAGAAGAACCGATAAGATGAGAACCAAGTGGAGTCGCACTTATCAATGGCAAAGTGGCTTATTAGGTGTAATACATGCTTAATACATACCTAAAGATGCTGCTAAGACCATTCACATTTTGGCTGATCTTTTTTTTTTTTAAGTCAAAGGGTGGCCGTCATCATGCAATGTGAAGAGTGCATTATCCTTAGCTGACAGAGTCAGTTGTTGCATTTAGGGACATCTGCATACATTTGAACACACTTAGTTTTAGGCTGCGCAGCACTCTGTGGATTCCTTCGGCCCCAGCATTCCTCCAACAGCTGAATGGTCTCTGCTCGGACCTACCTTAATCACAGCTTACGCTATTTTTACTTCCCCTTGTCGCATATGACGGAGCTGAAGCTTTCCTTCACACTGTTGATTTTCTACAGTTGTGTCTGAAAGCCTTGTTTGAGAATTACTTTGAAAATATGAATTCACTTCTAACGTATTATGAACGTAAAGAAAATTGTAACAGACTGACTGACAGCTGTGACAGTATCCCAACTTGTCTTAAGGCCTTTCTGTAACTCTAGGATTTGAATCCAGGTGCTTAAATGAGAGGACGGTGGACTTCTTGAAAATTTAATTTCATAAAAAGCCTCCTCCCTTTACCTCTGGCACACAATGCTCGCTAAAACTGGCAAGCCTGCAAAAGGCTGTTGTTTCTTCTCCTTTGAGTGGAACTAATAACCACGCAGAGTGAATTCCCCATCTGGCCCCTTAAGGAAAAACACCAATAATGAGATAAATGCTTGAAAATTGGCCTCTGACTGCCAGTCGTTTCTCAGGTATCTGTTTATGGTTGTATCACATTCTTCAAGCACCCCTGGATTAAACTCAGCTGGTGGGTTGGGTTGAAGTAATGTCTCTTTTATCCCAGGCTCTTGTTTCATTGCCTGGCACTTGAACAACTCTGAGGAATGTTTCTTTTAGCTGACAACACGCTAAGGTTTTATATTTGAGTCATGGTGAATAGTTGATTAAAACGTTATCTCTCCGGGAATTGTCAAAGCTTTTTGTCACTGTAAATGTGATTTATGATATTTTAGCATGTAGAGTTCTTTGGATTTAGTTTCCTGCAAAGGAATTTGTGACTAACCTGATACTTTTAGTGGCGATCAGTTTTGCGCAGATCTTTTTCTTTCTTTCTCTTTTTAAATGTAATATAGCAAACCCAACCACCTGGCTGTAAAAAAAAAAAAGGACTTTAAATCACAAAGTATTCGTCTCATCCAGGTTATGATCTGTTCAGACCTTAGCCCACTGAGTGGTGATATAAGAGTATAAAACATGGATAACTAGCCTGACTTTATTTACCTTATTACTATGTACGACTTTAAGGTGCATTACTACACAGCAAAGGTCATCAGTAAAATTTGCTCAACGAACAAAACGTTTCTAATCAGACAATTGCCAATTCAGTACAGTACTTTTACGTATTAACACAAACATTCAGTTAGCTAATGTAGCATACTTTCACATCGGAATGTTCTTTTCGTTAAAGAGTTGTTTTATAACGATTTTAAAAACGGACCCTTATTTGGCTAGACATTAGCCAAGCCTCGAGGAAGACCTTTGTCCTTGTGTTCATACTCTTCATACCTCATATTTATTTCTTGGATGTTTTGCACCACAGGCAAACAGATATTGTAGCTTTAGTTTAAATATAACATAATATGTATATTTTATATAGTCTCATAGTTATATTTGTAAACTTTGACTTCAAAAGCTCCTCGGTAGGCCTTTGGGTTTAAATAAATGGATTTCCCGTCTGTGTGAGATTGGCATGCCCTTGAACTGATGGCTCTATAGAAAGTTGTAGACCCTCCAGTGAATGTTAATTTTATCCAGACCCTTTAAATTCAGTTGAATTCAGTTTATTTATATAGCACTAGGTCACAACAGAAGTCAACTCAGGGTACTGTACAGAAACGTTCACATACATGCGCGTAGCCAGGGGGGGTTCGGGGGGTTCGAACGAACCGCCCACTTTGCCAATGAAGTCCCACCTACAACTCCCGCGAGATATAGAACTGCATGTCCTACTTCAACTGGCCTGCACACTCCCTGTCACCTCCTGCGAGTGTGAGCGCAGTGCCAGTGCCCTTCGTCGACTGAACAGCTACATGCGGGCATCAATGGGGAAGGAGCGTCTCTCATCACTGGCACTACTTCACATTCACTACAGCAAACACATTGACCTTGACAGAGTTGTTGATGTGTTTGCAAACAAACACTCGAGGAGGATGGAGCTGGACTCACTTGTCTATCCAGAGATATAAGATGTTGGACAAAACTGTCTTATGCATTGTAAAAAAAAAAGGTTTTGCAAAACTACATTTGTCTTGAGAAATTTTAATCTTACTCTATAGTGTCATTTTTTTATGTGTAGATGTGGATTGTATTGTATTTTTCAATTCATTAATTTCATTCATAAAAAACAATGTCTAACAAAGCAAAGTAAAAAGATGAGTTATTTTTGCAATTGAAGTAATGTTATTATTTGCGGGCTTAGTTTGCATTTATGTTGTTAGAGTTAAGGAGTGGTACTGTGCCTTTAAGAGGATGACGTCTTTCATTCTTCTTCGGTGTTTTTTTTTTTTTTTTTTTGTGTATGTTCGGGCGGGACTCGGGAGTACCGAAGTGTTCGTTCGTGTCTGGGATGAGTTCTGAATAGAAGACTGGACACACACGCTATTCCCCTCTCAGTGTGTTGCTCTTTCTCCACTCACAACCGCCTATTTGGTAACACAGATTTACCTCACACAGCAGTGTTTTAACTAGCTAGCTAATTAGCTTGTTTACACATTTGAAGTTATGTGTACCACCGCCAATGAACCAATCAGAGTAGTCCTACAGGTCCACTTTTTCTTCAAACGAACCGCCCCTCATAAAATCCTGGCTACGCCTATGACATACATTACAACAGCTAATTGGTAAAAGTTGTCGATCCAAGGAAGCCAGCAGGTTGCATGGAATTTTCACTTTGTTGCAGTCTCCCATCCTGAGCAAGCACAAAGGCAGCAGTGGAAACCTCACAGGAAGAAACCTCCAGCAGAACCAGTCTCAGGACGAGCGGCCATCTGCCTCGACCGGCTTGTTGAGAGGAACAGGAAGGAGATACAGATGAACACAGAAGGGCAGGTCCAGGTGTACTTTCTATAGGAAGAAAGGCTAAAAAACACAGGTTAAGATCAAAATAATTACAAACGGGTAGAGGAGACCAAGCAGCAGATTGAGGAAACATGGTCAGCTTGTCCTCCAGTAGTCTAAGCCTATAGCAGCATAACTAAAGGATAGCTCAGGAAACCCAAGCCACCCCTAACTATAGAGTTGTGTGAAACATCTCAGCACAACTAAAAAAAAGAAACCATCCAGATGACCACCTGACTGAACATTGTTGGATTTTATACCTGGATGACTGAGCATGGACTTTGGATTTATATAAAAAATAAAAAAAAAGACTTAAGCTCAGTCTTAAAAGTGGACAAGATGTCAGCCTCACGGACAGAAACTGGAAGTTGGTTCCAAGAGAGGAACCTGATTACTGAAAGCTCAACTCTAGGAACCACAAGTAAACCTGCAGTCTGAGAGCGAAGTGCTCTGTTAGGAAAATATGGAACAATAACATCTCTAATTGAGCTAGGTTGTTGAGAGCTTTGTATGTAGAAGTAAGACTTTGAATTCTATTCCGACTTTGACATGTTGACATGACAATTTAACATGTTGTGCACACGGTAAGTGGCAGTGGCAGCATCAATCATGCTCACTGTTTAACCCTGGATTTATGTGTGATTCCTTCTGAAAGGCGTTTGGCGTGTTGGACACTACTCTGTGATGTTTCTCCGAGACATCATGTCGGGTCACATCCAGAGTTGAAGCAGACACTTTTGATGCATTTGACAGTATTCAGAGGTGATTAATCACCTCCCACAGCGATGCTCTGCCTTTTTATGTGTCGGATCGCCTGCAGGCCCACACACACATTATCTAATACCATCTTGAAAGTTGTAAACCTGTCGGCTGGATTTTTGAGCTCTCTGCCTCAACCTGCCTGTTAAACTTGGTCTTTTTTTCCTTTTAAATCAGCAGCTTCTTTATGCCTAACTTCTCTTTCTTTGTTCTTTTTATCATAATGCAGCAGGACTTCTTTGGTTTGTTTTGCTGAAAACTTTTTTAGTCCTAATAAGAACTACACATGGACTTTTTGTGGCATTTTGTATGTGTTGCAGAGACCTATCCAACAACAGCATTGATTGTCTTAATGGAGACGTCTTCAAGGGCCTCACCAGTTTGACCAGACTGTAAGTCTTTTGCTTTCATGTCATGAGTAGAGATGCACCCATCACTGGTTTTTTGTGCACCTCTAACCTACTGGTTTTTATTTTAGACAATTCCATTTCCGTACCATTTGTTTTTCATTCCAGGTATGCGATCTTTACAGTACAAAACATTTACTAAGCATATTATAAATGTGCTGTGTTACATTTACCACCGAAGTCGGAACAAATGTTGGATTAAATGTTGAATTGGAACAATGCAAAGATATAACTCAGTTTAATATTTTTTAAGTCATTTTGAGCTGTAACATGGCAGTGGAGGGGTGTAAATGGTATTGAGAATTGGAGAAACGGAAGGGTGTTAGATAAGCTATTAATCCAACAATTTTCAGTCAGGTCATCTGGACAGTTTCTTTTTTTGCTGAAATGTTTCACCTTCCATCCAGAAGGCTTCATCAGTCAAACACAAACACACAAAACAAATCTATTCTTCCTCCAAACAGCTTACTGCAAAGTGGAATAAACCAGTTATGTTGGTGCTAAATTGATTTTTTTTGGTTTTGAACCAGTTTGACATGACTGTCGACAAGGAAGAGGGCCAGCACAAGAGGAGGGGGCGTGCCAAAGACACCATTTTAGCACCAACATAACTGGTTTGTTCTCCTTTGGAGTAAGCTGTTTGGAGGAAGAATCAAATTTGTTTTGTGTGTTTCCTTGACTGATGAAGTCTTCCGGATGGAAGGTGAAACGTTTCAGCCAAAAAAGAAACCGTCCAGATGATCTGACTGAAAATTGTTGGATTGTATACCTGGATTATTGAGCATGGGCCTTTTTTGATAAGCTATTAATGTTTAATTCTGCTGTAAATAAGATGTACACTAGAAAGTTCCTGGAGAAACTTTGATGGGGACTGCCATTTGGCTGCCATTTAAAAATTTTGATTTTACTGTATTGTGTTTGCTCTCAGCTACCACCATACCAAATTCAGTATGTGATGGGGAAGATTCTCAGCTATAACCACACCAAATTTCAGCTCTTTGTTTAATAGCTGAGTTGAAGCCATTTAAATTGAGCTTTAGTGGCCATCTTGAAATGTTTTAATCCATAATCCATTATTTATTGGGTATTGCTCTCAGGTACTACCACACCAAATTTCAGCTTAATATCTCTAAAAATGGCTGATTTACAGTATTTTTCCTTTTTAGCTCAGGCAGCTGTCTTGGATATTTGATTTGCTAGCAGAGTCTATGAAAAATGACTAATAAAAATGGCGTCTTTGTTTGTTAATTACGTCACCATGGTAACTCGAAACTCCAATACAATAGCACACGTCACGATGCCGAGCCGGTTGCTTTGATATAACATTTGTGGGGGTACACATTCTGGTTCGGGCTGCATTAAAGTTGATGGAAGAGTAAGATATAAAGTTAAGAAACCTTATCAGGTGGATAATAATAGGTGCTGCCTTACTAGGCAGTCCAACAATGTAAGAAGGTTTAATTATAATAAGAATTGGAATTCTATTCATCTAATTAAGTAAAAAAAAAGGGGTAGAAATAAGTTTTATTTCAGCCTACTTTTTTCATACAGATGGTTTTGTAAGTTGGCCAAATATGTATATGTTGTTTTATATCTGTTTGAAATAAATATTCATTCATTCATAACGTGCATCAGCGAATGACATCACATTCAGTGCACCAACAATGTCCTCCAGGTTTTTGGACAGATGTATTTGTACAGATAAAATCCAACAGAATAACTCGCAAAGACTTTTATAAACTGCATATTTTTTTGCACGCCTCAGACAATGGAAGTGCACCAACTGAACATGCCACCACAGCAGGTGGTACTTAAAGAAAACAGCTGGAGTGGTAACGAAGAGCAGAAAGTCCAGTTTACTTTGATCTTCTCAGTCTTAGTAAAAACGTCCTTATCAAAAAGGTGCTAGCTAAAATGAGTCCTTTAGCGATGGTGCATTCAGCTATAGTACAATCACTGACGAGAAAAAAAATCTGATTTTTCAGTGTTGGATCGATTGGTCGACACCAAGCTGAAAATCAGATGCTGATGAATAGAGGCATCTATAATCATAGGTTTGATTTAATTATCGCTTGTATATAAACCTAAATAATAATGTTTTCTTTTTCTACAGAAATATTTCAGGCAACTTGTTCTCTTCTCTGGCCCAGGGGACATTTGACAGACTGGTGTCTCTGAAGTCGCTGTAAGTGCGTTAGTGGAGTACCGGCAGTTTTCTTCAGCCACACACTTATAAATGCAAACAAAACTATGTTAAGTCTTCAAATACGCCACAAACTACCAATCAAGTAGCTATGTTGATTTATTTTTAATCTCCAGAGAGTTTCAGACGCCTTTCCTGCTTTGTGACTGCAACCTCCTGTGGCTCCTGCGTTGGACCAAAGACCGAACCGTCGCTGTGAAGAGCACAAAGTGCTCCTTCCCTCAGTCCCTCCAGGGGCAACTTATAACCTCCCTCAGACCAGAGCTCCTCACCTGCGGTAGGAATGACAACGAGCACGAATACACAAAGGCACAAAGATGTCGCCCTGAAACTGCACCCCTTGAACTCTGCAACGCACTTCTTTCATCATTTATGTGAAACTTTGTTCAGTTTCTGACATTTTTAACTGCTGAAATGTCGGTTGGAGTGAGCGCTGCAGATTTCACTGCCAAAAAAAAGAGCGCCGTCTCTTTAATTCGTCTGTTTTGGTATCGGTGTGGCCGGCGTTTGGGGAACGAGCTTGTGCAACGACATGCAGAGAGATAAGACGCGGGCTGCCCAGGCCAGCGCTGCCTTTGTTTGGACTTGCTTACATTTTATCAGTTTGGCACTCGCCTCCGTGGAGGATTATAAGATGCACAGCACAGATTTACAAGGAATGTCTGACTTAAATGACTTGCTGTGTTTGTGATCTACGGCTTTTGTTTCTTCCAGATGCTCCCCTGGAGCTGCCCTCCTTCCAGCTCACTCCATCCCAGCGTCAGGTGGTCTTCCAGGGGGACAGCCTGCCGTTCCAGTGCCAAGCTTCCCTGGTGGCTGAAGACATGCAGGTGCTCTGGTACCAAAACGGCCGCATGGTCCAGCCTGACGCCACTCAAGGCATCTTCATCGAAAAGCGCGTTCTGCAGAACTGCTCTCTGATTGCTAGGTGCAATGCACTTTCAGTTTACTTCATGTATGTCATTCATGTGAACAGGGGACCCAGTTTTAGAATATTATTTTCTATATTTTCCGTCAGTGCTTTGACCATCTCGAACATTCAGCCTGGTTTTACGGGGAACTGGGAGTGTCGGGTCCGGACGAGCAGGGGCAATACCACCAGGACGGTCCATATTGTGGTGCTGCAAAGTTCTGCCAAGTACTGCGCTCCTGAACGCGTCTCCAACAACAAGGGAGAGTTCAGGTACAAGCAGACTGCTGACATTCTCTAATATTAATTATCACTGAATTTGATATAAAATCTGAAATGTCTTTTATTTGCACTTGTCCTGAAAAATTTCCATCCTTTAGAATTAAATGTTTCATTAAATTTAGTCTTTTGGTTCACTGTTCGACCTCAGGTAGGAGATTTAGCCATAGCAAAATATTTGAACAATTTAAAGTTTCTGTCCTATAATCATTTTATCTAAGTAAAAAAAACAAACAAAGCAAATATTTTCTGTGCAAGCAGCACCACCTTGTGGACAGATGTAAACATGACGCAGCTGTAATTCAAACAAGGAGGATTTATTAGATAAACATCTACAGGCATATCTAAAAAAAATAGAATATCATGAAAAATATTACATAGATTCATTACACATAGAGTGAAATATTCCAAGCGTTTATTTCTTGTAATGTTGATGATTTTGGTTTTAAATAATGAAAAAACAAAATTCAGTGTAGTGGTACTTTTTTTTTTTTTACTTTTTCACAATATTCTAATTTTTTTGGAGATGCACCTGTAGTTCAGGTCCAGATTTAAATCCAATCAGCCACTTCTTACCTGTTATAATATAATACATTCACGTTCAGTACATTATGAAATGCCAAGTTATGTATCTGAGGAAGCCAACAGATTGTATTGAATCTTCATTTCGTTGCGATCGCCCATCCTGAGCAGCACGTTGGCAACAGACAGGAAAGACTCCTGTTTAACAGGAAGGAATCTCCAGCAGAACCAAGCTCAGGAAGGGCAGCCATATGCCTCAACTACCTTTTTTTTATTTTTTATAAGGCATACTTAAAATCCTTTAATTTGATTTTAAAAATTGACAGTGAGCATTATAGTCCTGTCTGCCTTATAGTCTGAAAAATACAGTAGTTGATGTTTTGGAGGACAGGAAAGCAACAAACACAGCAACAGCTGGTCCAGGTGGAGTTTCTATGGAAAGAGAAACAAAAGAAAACCTGGTTTAATGGCAGCAATGGTTTGTAAATACAAACATGGGGAGTAGAGTGAGTAAAGACTGCAGCAGAGTGTGGAAATGTGTTCAGTTTGTTCTCCAGCTGTCTAAGCCTATAGCAGTAAAACCAAGGGATAGCTCAGGAAACCCAAACCAACCCTAACTATAGGATTATAAAAAAAAAAGAAAGACTTAAACCAAGTCTAAGCCAAATCACAGATTAAAAAAAAAAACACCTCACAGATTAAAAAAAAAAGAAGCCTGATAACTGAAAGCTCTGCCCCTCGTTTTCCTTTTAGAAGCTCTAGGAACCACAAGTAAACCTGCAGTTTGAGAGCGAAGAGCTCTGTTAGATGCATTTTGGATGGACTACTTTCCAGACATCCTACTAAATAAAAGTTACCTGTGCTTGTGTTACATTGCTCTTCTTTTCAATGTATTATTAAACCTTAGGAAAGAGGGTGAAACGATGTCACAAACTAATTAAACCAGACTCATTGGAACTCTTCCAGATGGCCCCGCACTCTGGCAGGGATCAGAGCGTACCTCGACTGCAACAGGCTGCCATCCAACGCCGGCGGTCCAGCTGAAGGCCGGCAGGCGTGGCGCTACTGCAGCCGCGAGGGGCTGTGGGCCGAGGACGACTACTCCCTCTGTCAGTTTCAGAAAGACGCCACCAGATTTCTCTTCGTCATCAACCAGGTTCATGTCTGATCCTTGGACTTAAGATTTTCACCCTTTAATGTCTTTTTTTTTTATTGCGTTCTGTGGATTAACCTACTTGTTCATGGTTTTTCTTTGATAATCACAACCTCCTCCGGCTCGTGTAGCTGACTAACTCCATGTATGTTTCTTAGATGCCTCTGAATGAGAGCAACGTGGAGAACATAGCTCAACGCTTGCGAGTCTACACCATCGACGCAGCCAACTTCTCAGACAAGATGGACATCATCTTTGTGGCTGAGATGATCGAGAAGTTTGGAAAGTTTGTTGAGAAGATTAAAGATGTAAGGATTCTTTCCTTGCTCTATTTGTTTACGTTCCCCATCCAGCAGCTGTTTGTTTGATGAGAACAAACATCACCTGGCTCCAGGGACAGAAACCCTCGATAGTCTTCAGTAAATACATAGTAATTTAACTCCTCTTTTTACTTGTAATAAACAATGTTTGACTAAATGGGACGTTTTTTTTAGATTGATTCGGCCATCTTGAGTCAAGTTGACTCCAAAAGTCGACCAGTCGTTGAATTTGATTTGAACGAATCAAATGTACAGTAAAGTGCCCTCATCTTGTTTTCCCAGTTGGGTGAGGTGATGCTCAACATGGCCAGTAACCTGATGCTGGCTGATGAGAGAGTTCTGTGGATGGCTCAGCGTGAAGCCACGGCCTGCTCCCGCATCATCGCCTGCCTCCAAAGGATAGCCACCTACCGCCTGGCCACAGTGCAGGCTTTCTCTCTGGTTAGTACACCGCAGGCTCTCTGCTCGAGTTTTGGTCCATAGCCATGTCCGTTCAATTCAACTAATTGTATTTATAAAGCGCCAAGTCTCAACAGACGTCATCTCAGGGCACTGAACAGAAACATTTATATATTAAAATAATAATTTGACACGATCTGAGGAGCAGACTGCTTTGAGTTGAACTCCATCGCAGACTCTCATCTTGAGCAAGCATGAAGGCGACAGTGGAAAGGAAAAACTCCCTCATGAGGAAGAAACCTCCAGCAGAACCAGGCTCAGGACAAGCGGCCATCTGCTTCGACCGGCTGGGTTTGAGAGGATCAGGAAGGAGGAACAGATACACAATGGCAGGTCAAGAATCACATGTTAAGATAGAAATAATATCAAACGAAATCTACTCAATTGTAACAATTCATGTAAGGAAATGAGGTCAATTTATCCTCAGTAGTCTAAGCCTATAGCAGCATAACAAGCTAGCCCTAACTATAGGATTTATCAAAAAGGAAAGTCTTAGTCCAGTCTTAAACTGGGCAATGTGTCGGCCTCATGGACAGAAACTGGAAGTTGGTTCCACAAGAGAGGAGCCTGAGAACTGAAAGATTTTCCTCCTATTCTGCTCTTGGAAACTCTAGGAACCACAAGTAAACCTGCAGTCTGAGAACGAAGTGCTTTTAGGAAAATATGGAAGAACAAGATCTGTAATATAAGATGGAGCTAGGTTGTTGAGGGCTTTGTAGGTTAGAAGTAAGAGTTTGTCACCCTCCCTGTTCCTTCCCCTAGATGTCCCCCAACATTGCCCTGGAGGCCCACGCCGTCAGGGCCAACGACTGGAACGGCATGACCTGCATGTTGTTCCAGAGGCCCCCACCGGAGCGAACGTCTGGCCAGGACCGCAAGTTCTCCTTCAAATGCAACACCACCAGCTCTGTCTCCACCGTCCTCTACAAGGTCAGCTCTGACCTGAACTAACTACATGTAGCTCGCACCTCCATCAGTTTCTCTTGACCGTAGGAGAACCAGCAGAACATTTGCTGCGATTCATCTTTACTTTGGTTTTGTGATTAGAGCGCCGTCGTGGAGGCTTCGTTGCAGCTCCCTCAGTCTCTGCTGAGCCAGGCTGTTCTCCCGGGGCGGGCAGATGATACGATCTACAAACTCCACCTGCTGGGCTTCCGCAGCGGCAAGTTTTTCCCCTCCACTGGAAACACCTCCCTCCTGGCTGACGGCGGGAAGAGGAGGAGCGTGGCCACACCTGTTATTGTGACAGAGATAGGTAGGACATCTTGTTTTTAAAATGTGGAGAAACATATCCTGATGCATGCTCAATAATCCAGGTAGAAAAATCTAAAAAAGAGGAAAAAAGTGGAGAAACATCTGAAAATGACTATTATTTTCATAGTATTTCCTCATAAACACTACAGTGTAATTCGCCATGTAGACTGCATTTACATAATGAATGGCATGTTAACCATCTAACAGATCTAAAAATAAAATGAGTCATCTCACACAAAATAGTATTTGAGGCAATGCTGCAATTTATTTTCTTTTCACGCACAAAGAATGTTTGTCCTGTGATCTAATGCGCTTCAATGTCTTCATATGTATAAAATAGGATAAAAAGGTTTTATTGTAATCTGTATTTCAAAGTAATTCCTTTTAGGTTGTATCTTGTTTGTCAACACTTCTGTCTGGTAACCTAGAGCCAACTTGATGTTTTTGAGAGAGAAAAGTTAATAAAAAAATGCAAATATTTATAATAAACTGTCAGATGTTTCAGTTTGCCCAGAAAGTATAAAATCATATTATTCTGTCCGTTGTTGTTCTATGGGGGAAATAAATCAGCCTTACAAACTGTGATCAGTGCATTTCTAAATATATCAGAACAGACAAATTAAAAACTAGCTAAACTTTGCTCGCTAAGAATCAAACAGTGGTGGGCACAGCTAACCATAAAGTTAGCTTTGCTAACACTAAACCGCTACCCACTTAGACCACTATCACGCAGTCTGCGTCACGTCTTCGTCTCCTTCCAGTTGAAGCTGCGTCGACCAATCATATCTTGTCGTGTGTACACGTAATAAGCCAATAGAGCGCTTGATGGCCTCTTTAAGACACGCCCACAACAGACAGGAACAAGCAAGTGCATTTTGTTAGCAGACTTAAAGTTGGTGAAACCTAATTTAGAGGAAGCTAATTCCTCTAATCAACCTTTATTTATACAGGTAAATCTAATGGTTTCCAAAGTTAAGTGAAAACGCTAATCTAAAAATAAAGTCAGGTCCTCTGGGTGGATTCTTCTTGTTGAAACGTTTCATCTTTTACCCAAAAGACTTCTTGAGTCTGAGGAGCTGCAACAAACTCAGTCTTATAAACAGCACCTTCTCATAGTGGATTAACTAGTTTGCTGCCGACAGCCAGAACTAGTTCACATGATAAAGGAGGACCATCGGCCTAACGACTGATCGTTAGTGCTCCGATGGCCTCTTGCTATTCACAGAGCTGAGTGATACTAGCAATAACAGCATTGTAAGAGGGGGACAAGTGAACACGGAGGCCTCCACCCGTTTAATGATGGACAAGTTCTCTTCACAAAGATGGCCTCCTTCACTCCTCTCTCAAACCATCGTTCCTCTCTCCGGGATGTGAACATCTTCTTCCCTGGAAGAGTGACCTCTGGTCTAAAGATGTGCAGACCTCAGAGTCCTGGCCTGATGATGTTGATGATGCTGCAGTTAGCCTAGTTTTGTTCTGCTATTAGCTATTAGCTGTTAGCGGATTAACGGAACTGCCCACCACTGGAATCTGTGTTATTGACGCCGTCAAAACTTTTGTTTTTATTTTAATTTAAAAAAATTCCTCTGATTCGTGTTTTCTGTCAGACGGTGTGTCTCTGCGTGACCTGAGGACCCCCGTCAACATCACCCTGCGACGGTTCGCACACGGCTCGGACGCCGTGCCCGCCTGCTGGAACTTCAGCCTGGCAGGGGGTCTGGGCGGCTGGAGGAGCGAGGGCTGCCGCATTCAGGAGCATCAGGACAATTTCACCACCATCTCCTGCAACTCTCTGAGCAACTACGGTTTGCTCATGGTGGGTGGGGTTAGACTTTTGCGAAGCATCACTAGAAAGTGCAGCCATTTCAGCGTTTTATTTATTTCGTTTATAACGTTGTGAAGAAATGCACCACAACTTTCATTTAACAATGTCGCCCTCTAGTGGTAATCAGGTACAATTGCCAACAAAGTGTCTTTTCTGCTGCAGGACCTCAGCAGTGTTGACCATTTCTCTCCGAGCATCCAGCCGTTGCATCCAGTCATCTATGCAACAAGCGTCATACTGCTGCTCTGCCTGCTTACCATTATAATCAGCTACATTTACCATCACAGGTGAGAAACCAGTATATAATTAATGTAATGTCAATAATGTTTGTGTTGGTTTGTCATAGAAACACGCAGGTTTAAACTTTTAAAAACCCATTCTTATACACTCGTGTCTGTGTGTATATATATATATGTACTTAAAAAAATTACATGAATCATGGTCCATTTAAAATGTATTCAATGTTTTAAGGAGAAATGTTTTCGTAACTAATTATGCTGTGGGTTCTCTGAAACTTTGTAACGCTAATACTTATTTAAATTAAAAGTCTAGCTAGCATGCCGTGAAGGAATGTCCACTTCCTGTTTCCTGTCACAGATTCAAACTGCATCAAATTTTGGCTCAATATCTATTAAACTGACTGAGATGTAGTCGTTTTTGTGTTGTCTGTGATCAACTAGCTGCTGCAGTCATCTTAAACTGGGGAGGCTCCAAAAGTCATTCAGTTTTAGATTTATGTTCAATGATTACATAATGAAAGAGTCAGTAAAATCCACTTACTGGTTTCTTACAATATTTTGCTAACAGACACACTGAGTTAAATCCAACAGTCAGTGCTAGAGTTTTAAGCAAATATCTCGCACAATGAAACGCTTTGATTACTTGTTGGGGATCAGTCTCAGCTACCAACTTAGCCAAGTTTATGTCGATGTCTGCAAAGTTGTTTGAGTTATAGCAATATTGGTGTTTGCTGAGGTTGACGAGCTGTGGCGGCCATCTTTAATTATTTTGACTCCACATGTTTATCAGTTGTGCTCAAGCATCCAGTGATCACTCTCTGAGAGTTTCATTAAAATACGTTGACAAATTCCTAAGATATTTTGCTAACAGACATGCAGACACGAGTAAAAATATGGTACTTTTGCCTTCTGATGGCAGGTGGCTCCTACTGTTATCCGCCATCACTCTTCTTGTTCTTTCGCAACAGCCCTGTTAACCTGGCTCGCCATCGCTTCTCTGCAGGTGTGTTCGTGTGAGCTGCAAGTTTTGGCACATGCTGGTCAACCTCTGCTTCCACATCTCCCTCACATGTGGGGTTTTTGTAGGCGGCATCAATCAGACACGTAACGCGAGCGTCTGCCAAGCAGTAAGTACACAGCACCTTCACACACTCCCCCGTGTTCCTCCTTCACACTCTGTGACCTGGAATCCTAAAAAAAAAAAAAAACGGAGCCTCGGGTGGATTTTTAGAGTAAAACTGAAGATGTCTTAAAATTCAGGAAACAAGTGCAATCTTTTTGTTTAGGTGGGTATTTTGATGCACTATTCCACTCTTGCTACGGCCCTGTGGGTCGGCGTGACGGCACGCAACATATACAAGCAGGTGACACGCAAGGCCAAATGCTACGTGGAGCTGGACGAGCCGCCGCCGCCGCCGAGGCCGATGCTCAGGTTTGATCTCCAGTCTCATGCACGCTCAGCTGTTGTTTAGCTTCAAGCTGCCACACGGTGTCAGCGTACAAGCCTAAAACAATTATCCACTTCTTGTGTGAGAAGACTAAAGCTGAACTGCTGGTTTTAGGTTCTACTTGATCGGCGGAGGGATCCCCATTATTGTCTGTGGGATCACAGCAGCAGCCAACATCAAAAACTACGGCAGTCAGGCAAACGCACCATAGTGAGTATGCACAACATTCTCAGTTTTTCAAAAACATTAGAATTTAGTTAAAAGGCATTTCAGGCCCCAAATTAGTTCATTTTGTTTTTTAAGGAACTTTGGTTGAATCACGGTTGTATATGACGACCATGCTGCCTTGTTTTGGTGAATAATGTACAATTTATATTTTAATGGAAGTTGGTAGGAGAGATCATATCTCTCCAGTTTTAGCTTCTCTCCATTGGCTCCCTGTCAAATTCAGAATAGAATTCAAAATCTTGTAACCTACAAAGCCTTCAACAACCTAGCTCCATCTTATATTACAGATCTTATTGTTCCATATTTTCCTAACAGCACTTCGCTCTCAGACTGCAGGTTTACTTGCGGTTCCTAGAGTTCCCAAAGCAGAATGGGAGGAAGATCTTTCAGTTATCAGGCTCCTCTCTTGTGGAACCAACTTCCAGTTTCTGTCCATGAGGCTGACACATTGTCCATTTTTAAGACTGGGCTTAAGACTTTCCTTTTTGATAAATCCTATAGTTAGGGTTGGCTTGTTAAGCTGCTATAGGCTTAGACTACTGAGGACAAATTGATCTCATTTCTTTAAATGGATTGTTACAAATTAAATTATTTCTATCTTAACGTGCCATTGTTAGACCTGTCACAATAAACAATAAATCAATTAATCGCATGATAAATGAAAATTATCTACCTCATTTTCATTTATCGGCTTTATCGTTTCTTCCCGTCTCTCACTTTCTACTGAAGACACTGGATGACAAAAGGCTCAACTCCGGTGCTCTTCACTGACCCCTCCCCTTCTCTTTAATATTCATTTAAACCATCCAAAATCACATTTTTTAATTGTTAAAAGCAGCTAAGCTAAGCTATGAGCTAAGCTAACAGGCCGACCTCAGGGACACCCCCCCCCCCCCCCCCCCCCCCCCCCCCCCCGGGTCTTGTTGAAGCTCCAAAATTCACGGTTGAAACCCGTGCCTTCGTGTAAAAAGTTTTTCTCTGCCAAAAGAAGCTGAGAACTTGTTTACCGATTTTTTAAAAATTTTTATTAAAAGCTTTGTGTGACAAATGCTACGCTAAAGAGGTCAAACCACACCGAGCGTCTGCCATTTTGAGAACTGAAGAGAGACGGCCCATGTCACGTCAAGGGGCCTCCCTCCCATTTATCTTAAAGATAAATGCTGCTCGCTCCCTCACTATCCGTCCTTCGGGTCAGTCTTATATTGCCATCCAGTGGTCAATAAAAGGTACTACACTCAAAACAAATTAACAAACATTTCTTCTTAAATTTGACAATAATTACTAATTATTGTCAAATTTCAAACAACATTATCGTTTATCGCAATAATTTCTGAGACAATTAATCGCCCAGCATAATCTGTTTTCGTGACAGGCCTAGCCATTGTGTATCTGTTCCTCTCAAACCCAGCTGGTCGAAGCTGATGGCTGCTTGTACTGAGCCTGGTTCTGCTGGAGGTTTCTTCCTTATGGAGTTTTTCCTTTCCACTGTCGCCTTCATGCTTGCTCAAGATGAGAGTCTGCGATGAAGTTAAACTCAAAGCAGTCTGCTCCTCAGATAAATAATATTATTAACTTACTATTTAAATATGAATGTTTCTGTTCAGTTCCCTGAGATGACTTCTGTTGTGACTTGGTGCTACATATAAACTGAATTTAAGTGAATAAGTGTAAGATAACTTTATTCCCTAAAGTTGTGTTTATAGAGGCTTACTAGTGATGTGTGTGTTCAAGCAACAAGCCACTGCTGTCAGTTCATTAAGCGCTCCTGCAGCGTCCTCTCTGCAGTAGCAGCTGTTGAGATCTCATGGTGTTCCTGACTGATAAAGAAATCCATCCTGGAGTCTTTGGAGTTTAATTAATTTGTTCCAAGCAGAAGATGTTCAGCCTGTATTAAAACATGTAATGAGATGATAACCGGAAATATTAACTGTTGTTTTTTTTTAGAGGGATTTAAAGTTTGTGAAATAAAAAAAAAAAACTGATGTGAAAGTGGGAAGATAATATATTAAGATAAAAGGTGGACTCTTTTTGTAAATGAAACATTTGATTCTTATACTATTAATAAATGCAAATCTTTCATGTAAATTTGCTCCCCGAAGAAAAGAGCAGCCAAAAGAAACTTGCTGAATATATACGAGTCCGTTCATGCCACAAACTTTGACTAGTTGATCTTTGTCTTCTTTTTGTTTCCAGTTGCTGGATGGGATGGGAGCCAAGCATCGGGGCTTTTTATGGCCCGGCAGGATTTATCATCTTCGTGGACTGTATGTACTTCCTGAGCATCCTGCTGCAGTTGCGCAGACACCCTGAACGCCGTTACGAGCTAAAGGAGCCAACCGAAGAGGACCAGCACCTGGCTTCAGTCAGCAGCGAGGCGGGGCCCGACGGACCCAGCAGCCACTGTCAACCTCTCACCCTCCAGCTTCAGCCACATGAGGCACCCTCCTCTGTCACGTCAACCCCCAACTCTGTGCCTCTGTCAGCACTGGAGAACGAGCATACCTTTGCTGCCCAGCTGATGGGCGCAGGTGGAGCGTTAGGACTGTACGCAGCCCTCTGGGTGTTTGGTGCCATGGCTATATCACAGGAGCACCCGTTTGACTTGACTTTTACCTGCCTGTATGGGGCGACAGCTCTGGCCCTCGGGGCATTCATGGTGATTCATCACTGCATCAACAGACAAGACATGAGGAGCTTTTGGTCGCAGGTCTGTTGCTCTAGAAGGCAAGCCTACTCCGCTCAGGAGGACGCCCTTCTGCCTCTGCCAGGTGTGGCAGCGACACCCACGGCAGTGTCTGATAGCAAGGCAGACGGGGAGTCAACAAAGTGTGGCCAAAGCAGCGCCGGCTCATCCTACACAAACAAAAGTGGCCCAAGCACACGCCCCTCCACGCACGGTAACAAACTGACCAATCTGCACGCAGAGGCAGCTCAGTGCAAATCCTCCTCAGCAACGGTCAACGGCACGGCTGTTTTGGACACCAGTCTGACTGAGCATTCTCTAGATAATGACATAAAAATGCACGTGGCACCAATGGAGGTGCAGTTCCACGCAGTGAACAACCCTGCGGCTAACGGACACGCGAGCAGGCATTTAAAAAACAGAGTGCGAGCGCACAGAGCGAGTCGGCTAACGGTGCTGCGCGAGTACGCCTACGACGTGCCTACGAGCGTGGAGGGCAGCGTGCAGAGCACCCCCAGCAGGCGTCACCACCACTACGAACTAGCTGCGCGCAACAGCCGCCGGGCGGCGTACATGGCCTACAGGGAGCGCCATCAGAGCCAGCTGCAGCAGGACAGCAGCGACAGTGCCAGCCTGCCGCGCCGCTCCCGCTTCTCCGACAATGGAAGCAGCAGCTTGTTGGGGAACGGAGCTGTGGTGGCCGTAGAGAAAGAGCAGGCCACCTCCTCCGGATTATCAAACACGAGTAAAGACTGCAGTCCCGTTCGGCAGCCCGGCTGCACAGAACTAGAAAACAAGGCGTACGGGCTCAACCTCGTCACTCAGAACAGTGGAACACTGAAAGAGAACGGACAAGCGGTGGCTTTAAGTAACAGTGACAGCACCAGTATAAAAACTGGTTTGTGGAAACATGAAACTACGGTATAGCAGCACTTCCTGTCCCAAAGACTGCGTATTAAGGCCTGCATACCTCTAAACTGTGAAATTCTGATTGTACCGTTTATCTTCTGCAAACAAAGTCTCGAACATTTTGGATAATTTAGCAAAAATACTGCCAACGAACTGTTCCTGTAGATTATATTTAGAAGTTATTTTTATTTTTTTTACAACTTCCATTTATACTCCATTTGAGAGTTCTGTACAGTAGTCCCTCGTTTATCGCAGGGTTTGGGACCACGCCCTCCCCCACCACCACCACCACCACCATGTGCGCGATCAGTAACAAACTGCAAAGTAGGGATACAGTAGTCCAAGTTCAAGTAAACTTTGTCACTACCATCTCGTATACATAAGATGGAATGAAATTATGTACACAAGTAGTAGTAGTAGTTTATTTTAGTATTTATATATAGGTTTATATTGAGGCGTTTTAAACCCTTCCCACATTCTTGCAATGTCCCTAACAATTTTTTTAACTAAACGCTCTAAAAGAGCACAGCATGTTATGATCTCAGCTCTCTGCCACCTGCCAGCGCTCTCAGCCACACCCACTCCTGCAGCAGTGGGCTGCACACAGGTGCAGCAGGTGCTAAATAATTTATTTTAAATAAAAATTCCATGCCGATTGTGCGGCTCATCCATCAATCAGCCAATTGTGTCATGTCCAATCTTATTTTGAAAAACTGCGATAGAGCAAATCCGCGAAAAACGAACCGCGAAGTAGCGAGGGACTACTGTACATGAAGATCTGTGGCCTTCTTAGAATCTTTCACCTGTTTCCTTGTTGGTCCCAGCAATAATATTAATAATAATATTAACTATAATAAAGGTTTAAAGTATTTTTATTGTTGTATTAACACAGACTCACCTTTTGGTCCTTTGCAGTCTTCGAATAATAAAGTCAGAGCTGTTTTCCCTCTGAGTTTCTCTCGCTGTCAGTTCATATGACGAGCTGGTAATTGGGTTTGTGGCTGACCTTCACGTGGCCCCGGGGTCCTTTCCTTCACTGTGGTGCTGCGCTTTAATTGCAACTGGCAGGGACTTTAGGCTCTAAAGGTGTTTTCTTCTCGCCTGCTGGCGGATTTGATGAGTGCCCTGTGTGTTCTGGTCTCTAACTGACTTTGTGCCCTGAGATGTGATTGACAGCTGACTCTCAGGGGGTCTATAAGACTGCGAGGAAAAGACAGGATAATGAGAGAAGAGTCATCTTCTTCCCTAAGCTGGGAGGAAAATTATAGAAGAAAACCAGAATTTGCTTGTGAAGCGCTTAAAATAGACGAGCATCAGTATTGGTTGCGTGAACACTGATACACTGATGAAGCACCTGCTCCAGATTTTGCGCCACTCAAGGTGGCTGCATGTTGGGAGTAGCTCTCTTACATTCTGAGATTTTGCTTTTGAAAACTTTATTTCCTCTTTTTTTTTCTGGATGTAAATGGCTTTTTTCAGATGATTACTTCCTCTGGTATCGGGTGCTGTGCCGCTAGAAGGATTTTTACTGAAACCTTTTTTACTTTTGGACATTTGTTATGATGTGTAACCATGACAACAAGGTGGTTTTCTACAACCTGGAGCAGCTGATTAACATATCAAAAGCTCAAATAATACCTCAACTACAGCCCCAAATCCCAAATGAGTTGAAAAGAAGGCAACGTGGATGCATTCCCGTCTACCTGGAGGCTGTGCTCAAGTGCCTGACTGCCGGGATCTTGGAGGTGGCGGGAAACGCGGCTCGTGACAGTATGAGGGCCGAGATCATACCCCGGCATCTGCAGTTAAGTCCATGGCGACGAGGGGCTTGGCAGGCTGCTGGGAGAAATGGCCATCGCTCAGGGAGGAGTTCTGCTCAGCCTTCAGGCGGTCCAGCTGCCCAAGAGGACCGAGAGTTCTGCTGGGTCTGAATGGACGGATCTGCATCTGCAGCCACTTTCTTCAGATCTGCTGTGGGACAGACTGTTGCAAGAGATCCTTCCTGCCCACTGCCATCAGCATCTAGAACAACTCTAATGAAACCAGGATGATGAGCTACAATAACAATTAATTTCCCTTTGGGATTAATAAAGTATTTTCGAATTGAATTGAATTGAATTTGAAGTAAACTAAAATCCTCAAGTCATGATTATACCTTAAAAAGCCCTGCTAAAAACACGCAAGACCAACTTTACAAAGCCACAAAGAGACTCTTTAAATCCCTATTTAAATAAAGCTGCAAACATTACTTAACAAGTCATCTCACACAGTAACCCACCACCTCCCAGAATAAATCAACCCAATCCTGCATCCTTCCACCAATCTAAATGCCAACCGGACAGTCCTTTGGCCAAAATTTGTGTGGCATCACCGAATGCCCCCTCCCCTGCCATCTCAGTTTTGGGCAATTATATGGTCAGGGGGTAAAAAAAGAGTTCTTCAGTCTGTTAATAAAGAATAGGTGCAAAGGTTGGGGGACATTGTTCAAGATGGAGCACATTTTGTCCAGGGTCCATGTCAGCAGCTGTGTGCCCACAAGTTATATCTCAGCTAACATCTCAAACATCTTGAAAGAAGCCATTTTGCATCTCACCTACGATTCACAGGCCAAACAGAACTATCTTTTAAGAAAAGAAAAGCGTGTCCCTATAACACTATGAGTAGTTTATTAAAAAAAATCATAATGAACAGCTAAGGGATGAACAAGTTTGCAAAACTTGTACAGAAAATGTAGACAAATTCTTAATTATATTACAATTTGTGTTCACCTCGTAGGAAGAATATCAAAGTTCATGCTCAATAATCCAGGTAAAAAAAAATCCAAGAAAGTTAAGTCAGGTCATCTGGACGGTTTCTTTTTTTGTTGAAACTTCGTCTTTCATCCAAAAGACTTCATTAGACCAAGGAGCCACAACAAACTCAGTCCCAAAAGTAGCACACTCGCATAGTGGGCCAACCAGTTTAATGGTGATAACATGGTTTCTGGAGTCCGCCCTCTCCCTCTTGTAGGAAGACGTTTGCCTCCAGGCTTGGGGCCTTTATATGTGGGGTTTACATATGGGGTATTTTCTCTGGGAGCTCTGGTTACCTCCCACTAACCAAAAATGGGTATAATGTTAATTGGGAACTAAATTGTCCTACTGTGTGAATGAAAGCATGAGTAGTTGTTTTGTTTGTATATGTCCCACTGTCCGTAGTGTACCCTGCCTCTCGCACAGCGACTTTTAAGACTGGCACTTGTTCCTCTTCTATGACTTGGAAAGAAAACAATCAGTTAAAGTAAAAGCTTTTCCTTCTTCAGGGGTCTCCACAGCGAGTCATCCTCCTCCATCTTCCTCTGTCCTCACTCCAACTACCTCCATGTCCTCTCTAACTGCATCCATATAGCTCCTCTTTGTCTTTTTCCTGGCTGCTGCATTTCTAACATTCTTCTACCAGTATACCCACTGTCCCTCCTCTGGACATGTCCAAACCATCTCAGACTGGTCTGTCTAACTTTATCTCCCAGTTGTTCAACCTGTGCTGTACCTCTGATGATCTCATTCCTAATCTTATCCGTCCTTGTCACTACTAAGGAGAACCTCAACATCTTCATTTCTGCCACTTCCAGTTCTTTCTCCTGTCTTTTTGTTAATGCCACTGTCTCTAGACCATACAACATACAGTAGCTGGACTCACCACTGTCGTAAACATTTATTTTGACCTTTGCTGACAACCTTTTGTCACAAATCACTCCTGAAACTTTTCTCCATCCACTCCATCCTACCTGGACTCTCGTTTTCTCCTCGTTACCACACTTCCCCTTTTCCTGGACAGACATGTAAGAGCTGAATTGTTAATCCCAGTCACAGCAGAGATAGAGATAGTCCAGCTCCAATAACTTTAGTTTTTCATCAAAGACATATTAATAAAACACATTTTTCACTCTGGCAAAGATGTATTGCCCAGCCGTATTAGATGTGACAAATTAAAATGTGGCTTTTCAATTATGGGAAAGAACCGTTACGGGGACAGTCTCGTCAATTCCCTCGAAGCACAACAGAGTGATCTTCAAAATAATCACTGGGATTCTCGTGCTCTGCCATCTGCTGTAAGGTTCATTAGAGGGTGTTGGTGAGGAAGGAATGACAGTTTTGAGGATGTTGGAGCTTATCATCAAGATCAACTTGATAATCGTCTGCTTTGAAATCCCAGAGAAACCGTGAGCAGAAATGGATTATATTTAAAGATCAAACTGTCATTTTTGTCTTATGTTGAGTCTCATTTTAAACAATTTGTGGGTAGATCATATCTGTCAGGAAAAATTGTGAAGGAAGAATATGTATCAAAGACTGATTCAGCAGAACACTTTCCTGTCAGACTGTAGGTTTACTTGTGGTTCCTAGCGTTCCTAAATTGCAAGACAGCTTTCTCCGCTTTTGTGGTACCAACTTCCACTTCCTGTCCGAGAGGCCAACACCTTGTCGACTTTTAGGACAAGGCTTTAAGATTTTCCCTTTTCATATAACCTATAGTTTGCATTGGCTTGGGTTTTCTGATGTATCCCTTACTCCAGGTGAGTTGTTCCCTATGCTGCTATGGGCTTAGGATCTGTTGGAGGTTTCTCCTTGTTAAAAGGGATTTGATGCTTTCCACCTTCACCAACAGGTTGCTAAGGATTGAGATTGCCCTAAAATGAAGATTTGATGCATCTGCTGGCTTCCTTAGATGCCTTAGTGCTGGTATTTCAGAATGTACTGCAGAATAATGTATTAGATCAGGAATGAAATGCCTATACAAACAAATTGGTGTTCCCTGAACATTGCCAGTAAATTTCTATTTGTGCTCCCTGTTGAGTCAGAAATCAGGTTTCAGCAACAGGCAGAGGCACAAGTGAAGTGTTCCTTACATTTTCCAATTCTTGCACATGACATCTGGTGGAAACATCTGCCTCTGCTGCAGAAATGAACCACTGCAACAGATATAGATACTTTCTAGAACATGAAGCCATTTGACTGGTGTTTGAACGTGAGTTTCTTTCTGACCAGGAAAGTGTTCTTACCCGTACTATGTTTCAAACGTGGAAATATAAAGTTTTGGTGGGAGGAGACCCAGAGGAAGACCCAGGACACGCTGGAGGGACTGTTTCTTGGCTGGCCTGGGAACGCCTCGGGGTTCCCCTGGAGGAGCTGGCCCAAGTGGATGGGGAGAGGGAAGTC